GGGTGGGGGGCGGACTGTGAGGACCGGTCCCTGCAGCTCTCTCTGTCCAAGGCCTGGAGACCCTGGGAAGTGGGGGGGTCTCTGGTCAGAACACAGTTTGAAGCCTGCCCCTGCACAGCCAGGAAGCTTCCCCTGGTGTAAAGTGGGGAGAAAAGGGGGCCCCTCCCCCACAGGGGAGGGCAGGCGCAGTGTCCCCCAGCTTGAGGTCCAGAAAAGCCCAGTCTGGTGGGTGGGCAGACCCTCCACGTTCTCATGCTCTGGGACCCTGGCCCTTGAGGGCCTTTTCTCGTGGCTGGGCCAGGAACAGGCCCTGTGGGGTCCCCCCCACAAATGAAGCCCATGGCCCAAGGGCAGCCCGAGGCCCCACGCTGCCTGCACCCCATGCTCTCCGCCCTGGAGCACCCCGAGGCCCCAGCCTCCCGTACGAGGTGGAAACGTAAATACAATGTGTGGCACAAATAACACCCCTTTTATTACAGAATCATGAGCACGTAATTCAGCAACATGACAATGTCACACTCAAGCACACCACAGGGCGTTGTAGGTGCGATGTTCACACTCACACACACATTATTCCACCTCTATTATTACCGTACCGACCACATCCGAGCAGGCCTTACTTCTGCTGGACGCTGTGTGCTTGGTGGGTGTTGGCTCCACCCCTCAGGGCAGGGGTTTAAAATGGACTCAAACCCACCCCCACCCCCGGGGCCCAGAGGCAGGACAGCAGAGCCCCCGAAGCCCCACGTCCTTGCGGAAGGGAAGGCACAGGGTGCGGCCGTGTCTCTACGCCAGCACGCACTGCACAGGTTGGCGGGGAGGCTGGTCCCGGGGCCCCAAAGCTCCGGCGTGGGAGGGGACAAAGGGGGCCCAGAGGAGACCTGAGGAGCACAGCCTGAGCTTCAGCTGTGAGCGGAACGCTCTGCACGAGGGGGACACTTCCGGCAGAAGGGGCAGCAACGGCAAAGGCCCTGAGGCCAGAAGGGCCGGTCTTGTCCTGGGCCCGACGCTGCCTTGGAGTCCCAGTCACATCCTCCAAGGATTGACATAAAGGACTGTCCCCTTCATGGCTGGGGCCCACCTGTTTGCCCTGTTCCTCCCTCAGACCCCAGAGAAGACCCCCAGACCCCTGTTCCTGCCCTTGACCCCAGAGAAGACTGGCTGTGGCCCCTTGTACCTCACTTCTTGACTGGCGCTCGGCCAACAGACTGAAGTCCCATTACTCTCTGCTGTCGGTCCAGGGCTCTCCGTCAACGGGGCACCGGCCCCCGGCCCTCACACGTCCTCATCACAGGGCCCGGGACCTGCGGCCCTTCCTTTTCCCCTGGATGTGTGCTGGGTCTCCATCCCCAGGGGGCAGCAGGACACCGGGACCAGTCCCGACCCGACCAAAGGAGGCTGCTGGGCGAGGGCGGTGAGCAGCTGGTCCTCGCGTCTGCAGACCCCCCTCACCCCCGGCAGACTGCGGGAGGGGCTGAGGAGGCCACGGGGGCCTGAGGGCAGAGGAGGATCTAGAGGTTGGCCACGGGGGTGCTGTGACCCCCAAGAGCAGCTCCTGGAAGCCCAGAGAGGGAGTGGAGGAGGGGCCAGGGCCAGGCAGAGAGAGGCTCAGCGGGCCGGCTGAGAAGTTCCGTGTTCCCGAAGGAGACACCAGGTCCGAGCCCAGCCTCCTGCGCCCTCCAAAGCCAGGGTCCGGAACGGCCGCCACTCCCCTGTGCTGGGGCGGGGCGTGGACAGACGGCCCGCACTGGTTGTCTCGATGCCCCTGCCCAGCTGGCTGCCCTGCTCAGATTCCCTCCCTGCCTGGCCCAGTGCCCACCAGCCCTGCATTTTCAGACAGGCCTGTGGACCGGGCGCCGCCCCCTGACCTCGGCCTTCTCATCTCTCTGCTCCCTTCCCTCCGAGACCCCCGGCTGGCTCTGCTCCTGGCAGAAGTGCTGTTCCACCAGGGACCTGCTTCCTGTCCTGGCCAGCCCAGGACATGCTGGCCTGGACACAGGCAGAGCCCCCAGCCACCTGCCAGTGCCCGGGAATCACCCGCCATCGCCTAGTAGACCAGCCTAAGCCCCAGGCCCCAGGCCAGCTCTGCGTGGAGTCCCTTGTCCTTAACCCCACTGAACGAGCCCCTGACCGGGCACCGCTTTGGGAGCTGCCACGGGGCCTCCCTACCGCGTGGCTCAGGCAGGTCTCTGCGTTTCCACCTCCCGGGCAGGAGGCCACCACCCCCTGGGCCTGTGCCCACCTCCCCAGCCCGCCCCTCCCCACTGCGACCACCCAGCGCCTCTAGGATCAGAGTCCTGTTCTCTGGGTTCCTTTGAGTGACCAGGGAGAGCTGTGCCCTGAGGTCCCGCCCAAGCTCCTCTGCTGGGGGTGGGGAGACGGCCACAGGGGGGGTGGGTCAGCCTCCTCTGCCTGAAGTCCACGCGGCACTGCGCCCCCCCCCCCAACCTCAGGAGCCGAGGCGATCGGAAGGCACAGGAGGCAGGCGGGCGCAAGCCCCGCCACTCGGGGGGAGGGAATGTGTTCGGCCACCTTGAAACTGCCCTTTAGGGTATTGATTTTAAGCTGTTTATTAAGAAACAAGACTCAGAACCTTTGGCCCTCCCCCTTTTCCTGCCCAAGAGACTCATACAGAGAAACCTGCTTCCGGAAGGAGCCTGGGTGCAACCCCCTTCCGCACCCGCGCCCTGGCTTTGTGGGGGGGGGGGGGCTCCAGGCCTGGCGGTGAGAGGCCACCGGTGAGCCCCACTGACTCTGAGGTGCCTGGCAAGGACCTTCCTGCCACGTGCTTGGCTCCCCTTCCACTGCCTGCAAACCGCCCTCCTCAGCCCGGAAATCTGAGACCCTGCCCACCACCCCTCTCCCCTCTGTCCAAAAACGTCTGGTGTGTCCGATGGGGCCGCAGCGCCCCCGGCATTTGCCTGCCCACGTGAGCCCCCGTGTGCCCACACTGAGGCCTGACTCTCTCCTGCTGCTCACTCTCTGAGTTTGAGTGTCGGCCGGGCCAGAGCTTAGAAGGTGACAGGGAAAGGGTTCCTATTTTAGCCTCACACAGGGCTGGCGGTGACAAGGGGCGCACTCCCCCTCTGGCGAGTGCCCTTGTCCTCACCCCCAGCCCATCACAGAGTCCTGGGACCTGAGAACGTGGGAGCCCGTGGGGCTCCGGGTCGTGGTTGCCAGGGGACCCGACAGTTGAGCAGTATTGATGGGCAAGAGATTCCTGTCTGCCCCTCCCACCCTGACTTCTGTCTGAAACCCTCCATTGGTCACTCCCCTCAGCCGTGTCCCCACCTTTACAGTAGGAGGCCCAGCGAACAGTCACTCCCCTCTGTCTGGTTCTGACCCAAGTTCACGCTTGAAAGTGTATCTCACTCCCGGATCCCCTAAAATCCTGCCACTAACCTGACAGAGGGGACAAACTGATGGCGACACCTGCTGGCCATTCTGGGGATGCGCAGCTCCAGAGAACATGTGGAGGAGCCCACCTCCAGAGAACAAGGCGCTGGGCACACGGATTCTGGCCTTGCCCGGGTTGGCAGGCCAGGCTGGCAGGACGACCAGCTAGCAAAGCAAGGTGTCCAGGGCAGGCCACACCCTCCCAGCCATGATCCTGAGAAAGGCCACACAGCTGACTCTGAGTCCGACCTGGTGCCCATGGGCATCTGTCTGTGCAAACCCTGAGGCCTGGAAGGATCTGTGGGTTTCAGACCGTTCGGTGAGACCTGGCCAGAAACGTGTGAAGCCTCAGGGCCTCCATGTAGGGCTACACCTTGCTCCTGCCGCCCACCAAAGCAGCAGGCAGCCTCTGAGTCTAGGAAATGGGGTACACAGGCTGGGGCATGGCTCTCGAGAGGCAGAAAAGAGTGTGAGACCACGCGGTCATGCCCCTACCCTCTAAGCAGGTCCGGCCTGGTCCGCAAGGCCCCCACCAGCTCTGAGCTGACCCCCACGGCTTGGTGCTGTCGGGGGTCTGGGCCTCAGAGATGGGAGATCAGAGCAGAGGTGAGGCCAGGGGCTGCCGCTGGTCCTGCCCCAGGCCCTCCAGGCCCAGGTCAGTGGGGCCTGGTGGCTCTCCATCCTCCCCACCCTGGAGCTCAGCCCGCCCACTCTCTCTCCAGCGAGCCCTGGGTACCAACAGGGCAGGGCGCTTCTCTGCTAGCAGGCTGGCTCAGGGCCCTTCCGCCCACCCTCCCTCCCTCACACACCACCCCTTCTCGTACTTTCCTTCCCCCAGGCCCCCCCAACCAGCGGTGGCCTGAGGATGGGCACTGGGCGCCCCCAGCTCTGGTGTGCGGCCTTGAGAAGTCCCAGGCCTCCCTGGCTCCCTCCTTGCTGAGCAACGCGGCTGGGAGGGGTCAGGGAGTGAGCTTGTGGCGCCAGGCGCAGGGCCGCCGGGTGGGTAAGTGGAGGAGCCTGTCTTGCCCTCCTCACTGAGGTTCGCAGACGCCGCGCCCCTCCCCCGACTCCGGCCCCCAGAGCACCTCGGGGCGGGGGGCGGGGGACCGGTGAGGTCCCTGAGAATCACAACCTAAGATGGTGACCAGAGCTGCCGGGACAGGGATGGGGGGTGGAGGCGGAGCAATGCAGGGAGAGGGAGCCTGCACCACCTGAGTCCCCTGGCTTAGATACCGGTCCCAAGTCCCGAGGGTCAGCACCCGCCTCTGACTTAAATGCCCGCTCGCTGTCCCTCGGACTGGTCCCACGCCCCGCTCCCCGAAGCAGCCGGGTCAGCTTTCAGATCCAGAACCCGCCCCAAGTCCCGGACCCCTCCTCCCCGCCCTCCGCGCTCGCGCACTGCACTCCAGCACTAAACCGCTCTCTCCGATCTCCGCTTTCACTGGGCGGGGCTCACAGGCCCCAGCGCGGCCCCGCCCCCCTTATCGCCCAATCCCAGCCCACGGTCGCGCCGTAGCCCTCACAGCCTCACCCCCAGTGTCGTCCAATCCGAGCCCGCTCGTCCCAGCGCGGCCCCGCCGGCAGTGACGCACAAGGTGTGAGCCGCAGGCTCACCGCTGGCACCAGTCGGCACCGCCCGCGTGGGCGGGGCTAGCCCGGTACCCGCGGCTATGGCTCCCGCGGCCGCCAGCGTTCCCGAGGTGGTTCGCGCGGCTCAAAAGGACGACTACTACCGCGGCGGGCTGCGCAGCGCGGCGGGCAGCGTCCTGCACAGCCTGGCAGGTGAGGCCCCGAGCGGGGGGGGGGCGGCCCTGGGGCAGGTGAGTTTCCGAGGGCGGGTGAGTTTCCGAGGGCTTGGCTGGCAGAGTGACCGGCGCCGGAGGAAGGTCTGGTCCGGGGGTGGTCCAGGGAGCCACGCCCCCAGGCGGACGGATGACCCCCCCCCATACCCGCCTGGCGCAGCTGCCACGGGCAACTCGGCTAGGGCCTGAGCCCGCACGGAGCCTGGCACCGAGGGAAGAAGCGAGTGCCACGGTCGCCCCCGAGGGCCCGGAGTGGGGTGGGGCCGGGTGTGGGGACAGTGAGGAAGGGGGTGAGGGTGGGGAAGCCTCGCGACTGCAGCCGAAGCTACCCGGGTCTGGGACATGTTCGGAATAAGCGTTGTGTCTGTTAATACTGCAAACACTTTGGCCTGGTGACAGACGTTTCTGTCGGTGCTTTACAAACATTTAACTCATTTAATCCTCAAAACATCTCTGCAAGGGAGGACTTGTCATGCCCAGTCCCACAGATTGGGACATTGGGATTCTTGAGAGACCCAGGAACTTGCCTGAGGTCACAACCAGCAGGTGGGGAGCTGGGTCAGGATGCTGGACAGCGGTCACCACACTGCCTGTCCTCCTAGCTCTTCTGGGCACCAAACCCTTACCCAGGTGAGTTCAGAAGGGGGAGATGGGCACAGGTGGGCAGGTGCTCAGACTTGGTGGCCCAGGTGAGACACGCCAGAGGCCGGGAGCTGGAAGTGCATTTAGGGCCCTGTGAGCCTTAAAGAGGATGTTTGGGCTGGGCCTCACCATCCCCATAGCAACAGTGCTGTTCCTGCCCCCAGGTGCGAAGAAGTGGCTGGAGTGGAGGAAAGAGCTTGAGTTGCTGTCCGATGCAGCCTACTTTGGCCTCACCACACTTGCAGGTAGTACCCCCGTGAGACCCTGGGGACCCACAGCCCACACCTAGCCCCAGAGGACAGTGGGGGCGGGGGGGGGCCCACAGCAGAATGAGAAGCTCCTGGAGGTGCTTCCCAGTGCTGCTGGAGCTGGCCCAGATGCAGCCTCAGGGAAGGAGAGGACCCTGGGACCTGCCCCCAGAGGAAGGCCTCTGCAAGCTCTGATGTCCATTTGCCTGTCATGTCTGTGTCCTCCTTTCATCCTTTTTGTGTCCCTGGGGGCTTTGGTCCCGGACCTTGCCCAGGGTGTCGTTGAGACCGATCCTCTGTGACTGGAACCTGTTGGGCAGGAGCCCTGCCACAGGCACAAGGGCCCTGGCTGAGCTCATTCTTCACAAGAAAGGCAGGGACTTGGTGGAACGCAGCACCTGCCTCAGCCTTTCTCGTGGGTGTCCCCCCGACCCCCAGGCTACCAGACCCTGGGGGAGGAGTACGTCGGGATCATCCAGGTGGACCCGTCCCAGAGGCAGGTGCCCTCCAGGCTGCGCCGCTGTGTGCTGGTCGCGCTGCACACCATCCTGCCCTACCTGCTGGACAAGGCCCTGCTGCACCTGGAGCACGAGCTGCAGACTGATGGCAATGGTGGCCGGCCCTCGCAGGGCGGCCCAGCACCCAGCGTGCGAGGCCGCTCTGGAGCCAGGCGCTGGGTGCACCGGCAGGTGGCGGCCCTGACGGAGCAGCAGCAGAAGGCACTGCTGCGGGCCGTGCAGGTGCTCAGGCCAGGCCTGGGCTACCTTCAGCGGCTCCACGTCGCCTGGTTCTACATGCAGGGCGTCTTCTACCACCTGGCCAAGAGGCTCGCCGGAGTCACCTATGTAAGTGTGGCACCGCCCACACGCTCCTCCCTGGGTCGTCCGTGTACAGGCGGCCCTTCAGGGCCTTTGTGGGCCAGCACAGGCCCAGGGCCAGGATTCTCGGCTGGGTTTTGTTGGTTCACGTTCTGCTAAAAAAAGGAGGAGACGTTCAGTTTGCACACACCCTGAGGGTACAGGAGGCTGCCTTCCCCGGCCACCGTGTGCAGGCCGCCCTGGGTGCTGGGTCCCACACCTTCCTGACAGTGGCCCAACGGTGACCGTGGGAGCCCCACTGCTGCCAACGCCCTGCTGGTCCTCCCTGGTCCCTGCAGGCCCACCCCATTGGACCACTGCTCACACCCTCTGTCCCGGTTGCCTCGCTCCCACTCAACTACCCTCCCGGGTTGCTCTCAGCGTCATGCTCCCTGTGGAGAGCCTGCCCTGCCCCCTCACCTCCCTGGGCAGTGTTGTCCTGGGCGCCCGAGCCTCCCCCGTCAGTCCAGTCTCTGCCCCTCTCATGCTGGTCGCCCTTCAGTACATGTGGCTGAGCTGCTGTGATAAAGGGGCCTGAAAACCCAAGGCCCCACCGGGAGGGCTTTTCCCTGCTGGCATGTGTGGCTGCCCCACTCCGAGCCATGGGGAGGGAGACAGGACCGGGACTCCACCAGAAGTTGCCCCTGCCACTCGCTGCAGGAGAGGCCGGCACACTGTCCCCCAGCGGCACAGTGGCATCTAGCAGCAGGGGGCTTCCGCCGCAGACGGCTGGTGGCAACATCTGCCACCCACGCTTTCCCCCTGCCCCGCCGGGAGCTCTCGCTGGCTTCTTTGCCGGTTCTTTTTCTGAGAAGGGAGTCCCTGGATGTCCCCCCACCCTCAGATCCTCACCTGCTTCCAGAGTGGCTTGCACATGTCCAGCTCTGAGCACATCTTGGCTCAGCACTTCACTCCTGTTGGGAGTGAGGCCCTGCGCTGTCCACTGGTGTTCCTCACCCGCCCATCCGGTGCTCCTGCCCCTCACTCAGCTGAGGGGCCCTGTGGTCACTCTCTGTCCCATCTGCACTGAGATGGCAGGTTGGGCCTCATTTGATGGGCGTGAGTGCTGGGGGAGGCCAGACCTCCAGGATGTCCGCTCCGTGCCGCTGACTGCTGACCTTCCCCTGTCCTTGACAGCTCCGCACCCACCGCTCCCCTGCAGAGGACCCAAGGGCTCTCGCCAGCTACAGGCTGCTGGGCCTCGTCTCCCTGCTGCACCTGGCGCTGTTCGTGGGCCTGCAGCTCCATGGCCTCCGGCAGAGGCAGCGTGCCCGGCGGGAGTGGAAGCTGCACCGAGGCCTGTCCCACCGCAGGTGCGCAGGGCGGTCCCCTGGGTGTGGGCTCTTGGCTCGGGTGTGCAGCTGGCTGCCAGGGCTGAGCACCCCTGCTCTCAGTGAGGACCTGGAGGCTCACCCTCCCCACCTCCACAGGAGCCACACGGAGGAGAGAGCGGGCTCCAGGAGCAGCCTCTGCACCCTGTGCCTGGAGGAGCGCAGGCACCCCACAGCCACGCCCTGTGGCCACCTCTTCTGCTGGGAATGCATCACCCAGTGGTGCAGCTCCAAGGTCAGCAGCCATGGGCCTGCAGCCCAGGCTCCCAGGCAGGTGTGCGGGCGGCCCTGGTGGCTGCCAGTCAGTGGCCTGCCCCTGGACGCTCTCATTGGGCGGTGCAGGGGACGGGCATCTTTAAAAGCCCCCAGATAAACCAGGTACAGGGTCCACTAGGGAGTCCAGGTGCCATGGTTGCCGTGTGAGTGCTCAGTCGAAAGCAAACTGGGCTGGAGCCACCGGAGCATCTGGGCCGGCCTGGCCTGCCACATCTGCCGGACCCTCCCCTCCAGCTGGACACATGCCCGCAGAGACTGCCCCTGTGGGAGGCCAGGAGCCAGCCACCGGCTCTCAGACCCCAGGGCACAGGGCTGTGTATAGCCAGGCAGCACAGAATGCCTCATCTCCTGCTGACTCCAGGGAGGGGTCCTGCTCCTGGGCCCCACCCACTTCTGCAAGCTCAGCCAGAATCCAGCACTGGGAGGCGGAGGGGGCGGGGGTGGCCCCCCAGGCGAGGCAGGGGGATGACAGGGACACGGTGCTCACCTTTGTGCCCGAGCACAGGCTACTCTGGGGCCCTGTCCCTGGCTTTGTGGGTCCTAGTGGGTGCCTGGCAGTTGAGTGACAGACCTTCCAGGGCTGCAGGGACCTGGCCTGGCTATAGCCGGATGGTCCTTAGGAATGGGACACCAGGCCTTGGGAAGTGGAACAGGACAGGCCTGTTCATCCCAGAACCTCCCAAGAGGCTCAGGCAGCCAGTCGTCCAACAGCCATGAGGCCCAGTGGGCGTCTCAGCAGCGGTCAGTGGTGGCTGAGCGCCCTCCCCCACCCCTGGTCCCTGCATGGACTATGATGGTGTTCTCAGCTGGGGCCACTGTGCCCTGCTCTTCCAAACTGCCCGGGGTTCGGGCCCCCCTGCCCTGGGTTTACAACCTCCTCCTATTCTACATTGGACAAGGACCCCCGTGTCACTGGAGATGCCAGTGGGGGAGGGCCCACGGTGCTCTTGCAGGGGGCACAGCCTGTGTGACCTCTCCTTCCCCTGCAGACGGAGTGTCCCCTGTGCAGGGACAAGTTCCCGCCCCAGAAGCTCGTCTACCTGCGGCACTTCCGGTGACCAGAGGGCAGGGCGACCCCAGGAGAAAGCTTAGTTCCTTCTTAGGATGAACTCACACGGAAATCATAGCGTCCCCCAGTCTAACCCCTTTGTCACATAAGACACTGCGCCAGCAGTCCCGGAGCCAGGTGGCGTCTCAGGAGCAGGCTGGGGCGTGCTGACCGGTCCTGTGGTGAGAGAAGTTGCCACCTGGTGGGCCACACGGGCTTGGCCCGGTTGAGCACGTGCTGATGAGCAGAGGTGTCACCGTCCTCGGGTGTGGTCTGCCCACCAGCCGCACTCGCTGCAAACTGCGCCGGACAGCAGCCCGGGCCAGGCTCGCCCACTCACAGGACTAGGAGGCGCTGTGGACTCGGGTGCTCAGTGCTACCTCTTAATGCACACGTGCAGCTCCTTTCCCACTCGGAATGTGGAGTGTGGAGCCTGGCCCTGGACCTTGAAGACTCCCGACCCAGGGCTGAGGCGGGGGAGGGGGGGGGGCTGCTGTCCCAACATCTCAGCCTCGAAACGCCCCTGCAGCCTGCAGGAAGATTCCCCTCAGTGTCCTGCCCCCTTCCTGCCACTTTCAGGTTTCAAAAACTACCTTGTGCCAGAGACAGGACCTTGCCATGGGTGTCCTTAGGACACAGGCCCCACTGCAGTGTAGGTGCATTCATGTCACAAGGGCACAGTGCAAGTCAGATGTCTCAGAGGCTGGTGACAGGCCCTGGGGCCTCCGGGGCGCCCCCATGGGACTGCGAGGTGTAACTGACAGGCCCGCACAAGTGCTCGGTGCAGTGCAACTCAGCCACTGTCCCATCTCAGAGATGGCCCTGTCCTCGGCAGCAAAGGTCGGCTGCAGACAGGCCCCAGGACCGTGGACAGACTGGCCCCAAAGCCCCCTGAGCAGGCCCACAGCCCCTCATCGGGAGTGTTGGCTGGGAAGGCGATGGGTAGGGCAAGAGGTGCTCACAGCCCGAGTGCAGTGGCGACACAAGAGCACCGACACAGGACACTCACTAGACAAGGAAGGTAGTGACACCGTCCCCTGGCATGGAGTCTGCAGGGAGTTGCCGATAGAAAGGCCACACAGAACACCTGACATCTAGAACCCTGAGCCGGGTGGAGAGCCACCTGGAGCCACCAGCCTGAGCCCGCAGATCCAGAAGGGGGGGCTCCCCTGCGGGGCGCATTTCCCATAAAGACGACGTGAGAAAGGGGACACCGTCTTTAATTGTTTGAATTAAAAAGTCAGTAAAAGGCTTGTGAGTGCTTGTCTTCACATCGAAAAAGTCACCGTGCAGGGCGGCGCCTCCCACAGAAAGCGGGGCAGAGTCGGGCCCCCGGGGCGGGGCTGTGCCCCCCTCATGCCCTCTGGGAGGGCTGTCGTGTGAGCACACGCTGCCACGGACCGAGTCGGGTCTTTCTGCACAAAAGACATGCGTCAAAGTGACCTCCAACAGTGAAAATATAATGTGTATTTGGGTCCCCGGGCCCCGGAGCGCCCGGGGAGTCGAGCCATTTCCTGTCGGAGCAGAGGCGGCCACGGCCCCTCCACGAGGTGCCGGTGGGGAGCGTGGCAAGGACCCAGTGTCCCAGGGGGAACCGCCGAGCTCCTTCCAGGGCAGGACTCCGGCAGCCGCGGCCTCCAGCGGGCAACAGGGCGACGGCGTCCTCAGAAGGTCCTTCCGACCCGAAGCCCCGGCCCCACCTCGGCTGTCGCCTGTGCCCTGCTGGTCTGTCCACTCCAACACCTGCGTCACTGAAAAATAAATCAATGCAATTCCGCTCAAATGCCGGTGTCTTCGAGAACCTGGTATTTTGGTTACAATAACTGAGGCTCCTTTTTAGAAAGAAAATCCGACTCCATCATCAACTACTTTATGTGAAGAAAGGCGCTGTTACAACGGCTCAAACCCACTCGGCTCCAGCAGTGGCCCGGTGGCCCTCTAACTGGAGAACGTCTTGCCCACGTCCTCCTTCCCCTTGTACGTCCTCTTGCCGTGCGTGAATGGGATGTACCGGTACTTGATCATGTGCTGGGGACAGAGAGACAGACACGCATCAGGCGATGACAGGGCTCCGGCAGCAGCTTCCAGTACAGCGGGGACTGGGCGGGCCCACGGTGGGGGCACCCTGGTGAGTGTGTGGTCAGGCCTGCCTGGGGCCTGCTCGAGGGTGACGTGGCAGAACCCTCTGTCACCGTCGAGCAGATCCTGACTCCCACTGACCCACAGGACGCTGTGCTCAGGAGGAGGGCACGGCCCGCGGCCCTTCCCACCCAGCTCTGGAGCTGCTGGCCCAGGACCGGCCCCTGCCCCGGGCCGTGGCACGGGGCTGTGCCGGCGGTCATGCCCCCAACCCCAGGCCTGCAGGGAGCTTCCTGCTGCTCCCTGTCACCCTCCCACACCACCCCACGCTGCCAGGACGGGTGCAGCACCCTCTGGTGTCTACCTTGATCTGCCTCTTCATCGTGATACAGAAGAGCATGATGAAGTACATGACCAGGATGGGCCAGAACACAGGCACGTTGAACGCCTCAAAGAAGGTGCAGACCATGGCCACCAGGATGCCCTTGGTGGCCGCGTGCCTGAAGGAAGGGGGACGTGAGCACGCCGCTCCTGAGTGGTGCGGCTCTGCGTGCACTGCATGTTCCATGACGTACCACACGGAACCACACACAGCTCAAAGCGCCCTTCCTGAGTCACACCAAGTCTGAGAGCAGCGAGGGGTGCCGATGCTGCCCCGCTTGGGGACAGCTGTGGGTCAGGCAGCCCCAACTACAACTGCTGCTCGGTGCTCACCTCTCCACACTAAGAAGGCCGCTCCCTCGGGGGGTTCCCAGGCCCCCAACCGCACCTGCCTCCAACCGCCTCTCCCCAGCATTCCAGGCTCGACCCCCAGACTGGCCAAGCGCCAGCCAGTCTCTCACACGCCCAACGCACAGAAGAGAGAGGCGGCGCGTTCTGGCCCTTCAGTTTTCTGGCCAAATGAATACAGGACAAATGAGGTCACAGAGCCGCCATTCCCCAAGACAGGGGTCATCTCTGTCCACCTGTCACCACCTCTAGGAAGACTGGGACCAGCCCACCCTCCACACAAGCACAGCACTTCCCACAACAGTGACTGTCCCCACAGCGCATCTGCTGAGACCTCCTCGTTGCCAGCTTTGCAGCTCCCCCTGGGGCCCCAGCCCACCACCAGGCCGGCGAGCGCAGCACTGGCGTTTCGGACAAACAGGTGTTCAGAACAAAGACAGCTTTGCCACATGTGACTCACCAGCCACTCGGAACGGAAACGGTTCTGTGCCCACCCACGGGCCCCAGTCAGGCAGCAGGGCCTCTAGGAGCGGACTCACCAGAATTTGAACTCCGGGAGCCGTCGGATGAACGGCCGGAACTCCTCATTCTGCCTCGTGGGTAGCGAGGGGCCGTCGTCTGAAAGGCAGAGCGCCCATCAGGGGAGCGCGCCTCACCTCCCCTCCTGCGTGGCCCGTCTCCGGGCCCCTGGGAGGGCGCTCCTGGGTCAAGAGGACTCCCTCCCAGAGTGGAGCCCTGTCACTTACCCAGAGGTGACAGGGAACCAGAGACCTCACTACTTCAAAAGACTCACATACATCAGGTTATCTTCTTAGAAGAATTGTATATATTTTACAACTGCCTAAAAGTTCACCTGCACGTGAGTTCAGCTCAGGGACACACGAATACGCCCCACAAACCGACAGTGTCCCCCCCCCCAGCTGAGCGCCTCCTGCCCATGGAGAGTGGAGAGCCGGGCCCGCTCCGACTTCAGCCCACCCCAAAGGGGCGCCTCCCGTCAGGCAGAGAAGCCAAGGCAACAGACGAGTCCTCCGTTTTACTTCCCAGTCCCCCGAGCGGCAACGCGGCAGAAAAAGGCTGTGCTCCGTCCTGCGTTCGCACCGCAGGTCCGCAGAGAAGCCGTGGCTGCTGGCCGCGGCCGGGACAGCGCTGCCCACGCCGCCCCCAGTGGGAAGCGGCGCTCTGGGGCGGGGGCCGCGTCGGGTTTCTCCTGCCGGGGCCCCACTGGTGCCGCACCCCCGGCCCTGCCCCAGCGGGCCCCACCTGGCCTTAGCGTGAGCTATGGGGCGAGAAGTCTCCCACCCGTTGCCCTGGGAAGCCAGAGCCCTTCCACGCAGCTGGCCGTCGGCACCCCCACTGGCCTCAGGAGTCGCCCCTCGGGTCCGTGAGGAGGGGATGTGACTGCTGAGGGTGGTGACGGCCCCGAGACAGGCGTGTGGTTTGGGAAGCAGCACAGGGGAAGGCGTCCGCGTCCCCGTCCCCACCCCAGCCACTCCGCACGTGACCCTGCCGAGGGACCCCGACCGGCGGCACGGTCCCGCGTGCCCTGGTCCCCTCATCTGCAGACTGGGCTGACTCGGTTGGTCGGAGGGCCAACGGGCCATTGTACAAACACCTGTCACGATTACTGAGGCTCTGGGCTTGTTTTCAACACTAACACCTCACAGCCTGCGTGTCGACGTGTCTGGGGAAGGACACGGCAACCCTGTGAGGTGCCCCAACCGCCTGGACCAGCAGCAGGCGGACGCTGCCCTACCTGAGTCTTCCATCAAGGAAGGGTCCACCTTTGGAGAGAGGAAAGCTATGAAAAGATTCAGGTGGTAGATCCCCAAGGCGTAGGTCACGATGTACCAGCCCTGGAAGAGAAGGGGGGGGAGGTCAGCAACGTCGCCAGCGTGCGGTGTGCCGGGCCGGGTCCCGTGTGACCCAGCAGAACCTCGGGACCCGTGGAGCGGATCTGAGCAGCAGACCGTCACTCACAGGAGGGAGGGACAACGTGTGACCACAGGTACGCGGCCTGTCCGTGGTGCCAGCTTTCTCACATGTGCACGGCTCTTTCCGGGGGACGAGCAGGGGCCAGTTAGAGGCACCAAAGGCCGAAGCCACCGGCTCCCAGCGGTGCACCCGGGCCGCCACCCCACGGAGCCTCACACCCACTACCACACACGCTGCAGGCGTGTCTCTGTCTCTGCCAGGACAAACCCAGAACTGGAAAGTCAGGGAGCCAAGAACGGGGTCAAGACATCCCACAGCCCAACCTTCGCGGTAGCGCGGAGGCGGGTGGGAGCCCACTCGAGGTGAACGCACGGCGCAGGGCCCTGCAGTTGCACCGGCTCCCCCCGAGGACTGGAAACAAGGAGCGGCCGGGCTGGCTCTGCGCAGCCAGACGACCCCGCCCGCGAGGTTCTGCCCAGTTTCTACGGAACGGACCGAGTTCCAGCTACGCCGACCAGTCACTGTGAATTCAACACGAGCTGCAGACGTCCTGAAGACCGCGTCCTGCTACGCCGACCACCCTTCCCCCCGGAGCCAGGGGGGCTGACAAGCAAGGTGACAATTTTCAGGCACGGCACCCGAGACACATTTCCACGCTCGGGTTAAGTGGGAACACCCTCCAGTTCTGAGCCCAGAGTAGCATCCAGTGAACAAAGGTGTCCCTCTGTGGACCCCAGGCAGTCCCAGGGGAGGTGTCTGCGTGAACGAGGGAACGCCCTCCTGGCCCCAGAGAAAACTCTGGGACCGGGCCTGAGCCTGGACGCACCACGTGGCCCCTCTCAGGAGCGCCCACGCCTGAGGCCCGGGCAGCCGCCAGAGCCAGCGCGCACTCAGGTTCAGTCTGGGAGGACATCTCCTGAGCCGGGGACAGGCTCCGCATGGGCACGTCCCGTCCCCAGCCTTCCACTCAGTGGGACAACCACGCTCTCCTCCGCGGCCTCAGAGGCGCAGCTTCCAGAGCCGAACCCTCAGGCACCAAGGTCCTCGTGCACCCAGGGAACTCGGTCATCCTGTCCCCAAAGCCTCTGCCTGCCCCGGGCGTCTGGGGCCACGGCCGATGTGGACACTTTCCTGGGAACCGGAAGAGCACAGTGGGCCCAGCACGAACGGAACACGGTCCTTCTTTGGAACAGTCACGAGGACTGTTCCTCGTTCAGTGCCCAACCAAGACCAGACGCCATTTCCTCACCAAACACCCCCGACCCAGAGACACAAGAGACACCAGCGGCGCTTTCGCCATCAGCGGCGTGGACACGACGGTGGCCCGCACGGCCACGCCTACCTGCAGCAGGTACACTCGGACCATGTAGACGAAGCTCAGGCCCAGCGTCACCACCCACCGCATGGCCGTGTACGGCGTCGACTTGTCCAGCCAGGACTGATAGATCTGCAACGACAAGAGGTCACGAGTGTCGTGGGGACCCTTCCACGCCCCCTGTAAGGGGACCTCCCAATCGCCTGCTTCAGGCTGTGCGTCACCATGCCACGCAGCAGTGACGGCCACCCCAAATTTACTTGCAGTCACACCTGAGGCAGGCCTGACCCCTGAGCAGAAGCACTGCGGTTCAGAACGAGCTGTTACAACCACCGGCCTGGAGCCCCACCGGGCACCGGGCAAGGGGAGGCCCGGCCCGAGGCAGGGACGGGCCCCTGGCAGTCGCCACCCAAGTGCAGGACTCGGCCCGCGTGCCCCGCAGAGCCACACAACCCGGCAGTGCGGAGCGTGCTCAGGTGGGCGGGACCCCAGCGTCTGTGCACATGCGCGTGTGCACCCAGGCAATTAGCGTGCGTGCGTTGGTGCCCCACTTCGCTTCTGGACGTGTTCAAGTTTTAACTGTGGAAACTGTCCACCGCTCATGATAGTAGAGGGAATACACGAGACCACACAGACCCACCACCCGGGTACAACAATTACCAAGTTTTTAAAAGTGCTTTAATTTTAAAAGCTGATACAGCGTTGCACGCAACTCTTCTCCAGGAAAGCCCACCAGGGCTGCTGTGTGCTGCAGGCCCCAGCACAGCCCCAAGGCTGGGTCCACCCACTGCACGCAGACCCCAGCGAGAGGGGCCACGGGGGCGTGGACGTGGGTGGCCGGGAGGAGATACGGCGAGATCAGACTAGGGGCCACCGCCATACCTGCACCGCCTAGGAGCTAGGAACGGTCTCCACGTTACTGAAAGTCAAAAACAGCCCAGAGAACACGTGTGGCAGAAACCACGCACGGCCCCAGGCCTCACCCACTTACCGTCGGGCAAGTCGGCGCTCCCGGCAAAGGGAGAACCATTCCCGATGGTGTGAACGTGAGGCCCCCACGCACCAGGGAGCCTGGTGCACCCGGGCCCTTCAGAAAACGTGCTGGGTCAACGGTTTCTGGTTCAAATGTTTGCACGGTGTGTCTTCCGAAAACCCACCTGTCCGAGTCGTGTGAAGAACCTGTACACCACAGACGGCTTCCCGTGGACGGACTCTCCGACGCTGTCGCCTTCGGACATTCTGTAACTGAGAGGGACACAGAGCACTTTTAAGTGACCAGGCCGCCAAGGGTCTGACCGCCCCCAGTGCTGCCACCAGGTAGGCCATTCAGCATTTGGCACTTCCTCCACACCACTTCCTTCTTCGGGGCGACGCAGGAGCGGTGCAGGAGGCCAGGAGACGTGCAGAGCGGCGCAGGTCGACTCTCGTCTCTGCCACTGTACCCAGATCACACCCCTCTCGCTGGTCCCCGGGAACCACCGCCACCTTAGGAGGCCCCTGCACACGGCCGCACGCCCACCTTCGCCCCCCAGGCTCCCCTCTCCGGCCGCTCCCCATGGTGTGGGCCCCAGCCAGGCCTCTCCTGGCCCCTGAGGGCCACATCCCCCACCCCACCCAGAGAAACACGCCCTGGCCAGCTCTCCGGCAGCCCGCTGCCTGTGCCCCAGTTCCTCATCAGGGAGCGGGGGTAACCCTACCTGCTCATGACTAATGCAACGTGCTGTTGTGATTCCCTGGGGAACCAACCTGTGACACCCCGGTGACCGAGGGAAGTGGGCAGCATCGCCCCATGTCACTGGGGGTGAGGGGTGAGTCTTAAACAGTTTAACCCACTTGTCCAAGGCCACGAGCACCTCCTCTAACAGAGCAGGCCACTGCCCAAACCTCGGAATGAGAAGGACACAGAGGATGGGGGCACTGGATGTCCCTAAGCTGGTGAGGACTCTGGGACAAAGCTCACCGCTGTCCCCAACCTGGTGCCACAGACGGTTTGTTTCCAGGCTCCTGAGTGGCCACGAGACCTCGGCTTCTTCCTCTGAAGGACGAGACAGGCTGACAGCAGCCCTTCCCACCCACAGACAGACAGTGTGTGGGGTGGAACCCGCGCCCCCGCCCGAGCCCACACCTCCCCGGCACACCTGCACTGGAAGCCCCGGCCGGCTGGCCCTGTTTTGACAGGGAGGTCAGCAGGCTGGGGGTGTGGCCTCCAGTGGAAACCCTTTCCAGCTACAGCTCCGACACTGAAACAGCCCAAGCAGCCCCACTGCGCCACATCGCCAAGTCTGTGCGTGCAGTGTGACAGAGGCCCCAGGACACCACTCCCTGAAGCTGTCGTGTGCAGGGGCAGAGTTCTAGGAAGCGACTCGGAGAAGACGGAAAAGTGCCCTTTGCTCCCATGAAGACACTCAAACCCGAGACGCAGGGTTGGACAGAGCAGAACCACGACTCCCAGCCTTCCCACCTCCAGGAGGTGGAGCTGCACAGCCCACTGGGGAGAACCCTGTATCTCCAAAGAGCTAAACGAGGACTCGGGACCGAGGCTGGCCGGCCCCCCAGTTCAGACCGCAGCAGGAGCTACATCAGCGACAGTCCACCCCAGCTTCCCTACAGGTCTTCCTGGGCCTTACTTTTCTACGGCCGAGGTGTCTACCATTGAAGCGCTGCTGCTCCAACGAGGTAGTGGCAGTGCAGTGAGGTCAGAGAGAAAACACCTGGCTGTCCCTTTAAAATAGCCCCTTAAGGAGTTTGAAACGGTTCTGGACAGCCTTCCAGAGGCACAGCAGACACTTTCAGAAGATCTGACCAAACACCCGGCCCTCCATCTGGACTCAACTCACCGTCAACAACATTAAGGATGTGAACTTTGGAGTCAAACAAGTTGCTTCCAGCGCCCTGTCCGGTCACTTCCTAGTGGAGGGCCTGGGTGACCACTCCACATGCCCAATCGGCCTGGGAAGGGCATCAGCCCCTCCGCACTTCCTCCAGCTCGGGGGAGATCTAGCAGCGCTAGTAGCCTCCCTTCCCGCGCCCACATTCTGACTGAAGAAGCTCTTCCGTCTGTGCAGAGAGACCTCCTCCCAGGCCCTCGGGTCCCAGCACCCTGTTTATAGTTTGTGTGGCCATTGCTTTGTCATTTTTCCTGGCTCTTTTTTTCTCTTTCCTCCTCCTGGAGTCAAGCCCCTCGAGGGGGCCCTGTCTGGGGCCCAGCTGTGCTCAGCTGCAGAGGAAGGCCCGCCCTGGCAGGCGGTCTGTAAGGGATCAGTGAGGCTTCACCGCTTCACTGTTAGTTACAAGGAAACGCGGCAGAGGTGGAGCGCCGCGCCTGGAGTCATGCACGGCACGTAGGTACCCAGTTTCTGGAGGTCATCTGGGCTCAAAGTGCGCGACAAAAGGGTCCAGCCGTGGCCAGTCTGGCTCCCACTACCTTTCCGCACACATCCCTGTCCCCTCGCTCCTCCTGGGTCCCCTGCGGAACCCTGTCACACACTGCAGCCTCTGCTGATGGGCTTCCCTCCATGGAAAAGCCCTTCCAGACGCAGCGGCTCATCCAGCAAGGCCCCATTCCGCGGGCCCTTCCCTTCTCGGAGCGCGAGCACCCCAGAGGTATCCACCTGGCCCTAACCATACCGCATCTGACTGCGGTCGTCCCCACCCGCTGTCCACAGGAGCCAGTCCCAAGCACGGAGAACCCCTGTCTTTCACGGGGTGCCATCTCACACGTCACGGGCAGTTAGTGAGACACCAAGGAAACTGAGCAGAACGCGTGCGCTCGGGGTAACTTCCCGTAGACATAAGGTAGACGCTTCCCTTGTGTCCTGCAGACACAAGGTCCTGTAGACACCAGGAAGCCAAACGGAGGCGCTGCCGGCGAGGGCGGCAGAGCCGGAGGCGGGGGGACCACCGGGCCGGCCCCGAGAAGTGGCGACTCTGCCACAGAGTTCAAGCTGTTTCCAACATGCCATCTTCTGCAATCCGACTGCACACTGACGCCTTCCCACCCGACCACTCCAACAAGCCCTGCACCACAGCGAGGAAACGGACAGCGGCCGCCTCCACACCACGGGCGCTGGCAGCCGGCCCCTCCCAAGACGCGAAGCGTCCGATCACCCCGCCGACCCTGGGGTCCAGGACCGGCGTCGCTCATCCCGGTACCGCCTATCCCGGCAGCGTCCACCGCCCGTCACGACGCCTCAGACCTCCACCTGGCCCCGCCTACCCCGGCCCATGTCCGCCCGCCGGTACCTCGCGGCTCTGCAGCGCCCGAGCGCGGTCTCCGAGGGCCGCGGGAAGGAGGACGCAGGCAGGGGCCGCGCCGGCACTTCGCTGGGTCTGGGAACGAGGACCCGAGCACTTCCGCTCCGTAGTGCGCGGCACCGCCTCCGGGTCTCCAAGATGGACGCCGGGGCGGGGCGCGGAGCCTCCAACCATTTCCGCTTCCGGTGCGGGCGCCCTTTCCCAGCGGAAATACGTCAACGGAGGAAATGCGCGATGTCGCGCAGGCTCAGACACGTCCTCTGGCTCCTCGCCTGACGTTGCTGTTCCAGAGCTTGTTTCCGCCCAAGGACTGGACTCGTGGCCACGCCCCTAGCGACCAACGAGCCAATGGAAGAGAGCTTAGTGGTTGCTAAGGGAAACCTCTAGTGGCGAAGATGGCAGCTGTCAGGCAAGCAATCCTGCAGCGCCGGGACCCGCCAGGGCGGCCCCCACAGGACGGTAACGGCTGCAGGCCCGGGCAGGGCGGGCGTCCGGCGGCCCCTTGCTTTACCGGGCCTCCGCTTAGGTGGGAGGGCGGTGGGAAGGGACCTAGGGCTGGAACCCATGTCCCCCGATCCTGGCCGGGCTCCCGCTACGAGCTTCCATGAGCCCCGGGCGGCACCCGGAACCCTGATCGCCCGAGGCCTTGGAAGGGGTCGCGCCTCCGAATGTGCTGGTGCCTCTCCGGCCGTGCGGGGTAAGTCCCGAGGCCTGGAAACCGACCCCAGAGGAGCCAGGACGCGTGGTTCAGGGGGTTGACAGGAGCTATTCTTAAAGGAAAGGGGTGAACTCCGAGTCCACGCCACTCTTCAGGTAGAACCCGACCCTCGGTTATGGCAGATACTGGAGTCTGGCAACGCCCACACTTCCCTAGAACCGCCCCCCCCGCCCCCACCAAGTGGTGCCTCACGAACAGGGGGGTGGTTGGGGGGTGGGGTTGGAAGTTGGGAGTGGTGAACTCAGCAGTGGGGGCTTGGTCCTGAGGGGACAGGAGACCACGGGAAGGGCCCTGCGGAGAAGTGACAGGGGCGGTTTGTTCCCCCACTGTGTCCCTGCCTTCCTCTGGCCAATTGGGTCAACTCAAAAGTCCCCTCGTGCGAACTGCTCCCCCACCACGGGTCTATCAGGGCCCTCCCACTGGGCCTGCGCGGAGAAGGTGCTCACGGGTCTGTGCCTAAGCCAATGAAAGACTGGATGGACGGACAGTGAACCTGACCCCCAGCCTGAAGCTCTGGGCAGCAGCGTTGGGGAGTTTCAGGAGGCAAAGTGCACAGGTGCCTGGAGCGCCCCCCCCAGGGGGGCTGCCTGCTGCCCCTCAGTGCCCCCAGGTCACCCCACAGGAGTGTTTGTTGGACATCAGCCAGGTCATCTGTGTCATGTGCTCACCTGTGTATCTTCTTTCCAACGCTCAGGTTATGGCATCTACACATTCCCGAATTCCTTCTTCCGTTATGAAGGGGAGTGGAAAGGAGGGAAGACCCACGGTAAGAAGCGTCTGTGGCCTCTTCCTGCAGTGGCTGCCTCACTGTCGACAGCCCGTCACCTTGGGGAGCTGGGGCCGGTGGGTGGCACCAGGAGCCAGCGGGACTGGACCCTCACGCTGTCACTATTGCCCTCGGCATTGGGGCTCACCAGACACCACGCCCTGGTGCTGCCCCGCCTGGGGCCCCGAGGCCGGGGTCACGATGACACCTCAGCCTGTCTATTTGGCACAGGCAGGGGCTGCACCTGGGAAACGCTCTCTGAGTGTTAGTTCATCCGTGCTCAAGTGAGAGTAATGGCAGCTGCCTTGGTGGTTCATCTCTGATGAGAGGGAGCTCACCGCCTTCTGAAGAAAGTCTCAGCCACAGAGGAGAGGGTAGTCGGGGCACGTCACCGTGAGGCCTCTGCAGACGCCCAGCTCCAGTGGCCCAGAGCTCGGCCCACGGTCTGGTGTCTGTCCTCGGTTCTGCCCATTCTCTGCTGGTTTCTCTGCTGCTGAAGAATCGGCCAGTTGCTATTTCCCTATATGCGTTCGTGTGCCCGTTGGCTCCAGTATTTTCTGTATTTTTGACCTTTTGACTTTTATTGTAGTGTTTTTGCCACACAGAGACTTCTCACTTTTATTCAGATCTCTGGCTCTTCCTCCAGCTGCATGCGAGGGTCACACTTGAAACTGCTCAGAGCCTGGCCTGGCCTGAGTGGGTCATCCTTGTTGAAACGCATTCTTCAGCGTCACCCTGTGTCCACAGGCTTTCTCCTTCTGCCCTCCCACTGGGGGGGGGGGGGGGTGACCGGTGTCCTGCTGAGGGGGTATAGGACATCAGGTCTCCTCTGTACTTGTGATGGCTCTGCAGTTACCCCGGCCAAGACAGCAGAGCGCTCAGTCCTGAGTCAAGAACATTTCTCAGCCCTGGCTGGTGTGGCTCGGTGGATTGAGTGCCGGCCTGCGAACCAAAGGGTCACCAGTTCAATTCCCAGTCAGGGCATGTGCCTGGGTTGCAGGCCAGGTCCCCAGTAGGAGGCACATGAGAAGCAATCACACATCTGTGTTTTTTGCCATCTCTTTCTGCCTCCCTCCCTCTCTCTAAAAATAAATAAATAAAAATCTTTCCAAGAAGAACATCTTTCATGGCCAGGGCATGTGCGGGTCAGTGTGTGGAGCGCCCGCAGGGGCCTGAGCGCTCCGGGCCCGGCTCTTCTCCCTGGGCAACAGCCCGGCTGCTCCCACGCGGGCCCAGTGGTCCCTCCCGACTGCTGTCCGATGTGGCATCGCAGTGTCTCTCACCAGGCCGTGGGAAGCTGCTGTTCAAGGACGGGAGTTACTACGAAGGCGAGTTTGTGGACGGGGAGATCTCGGGCGAAGGCTGCAGGCTCTGGGCGGCGACAGGTCAGCTCCGGAGACACCTGGCCATGTGCTGTCCACAGACAGCCACGTCTGCGCTCACGAACTCCCTCCCTCTGGGTGCAGGAGGCACTTCCCCCATGAACTAGGGCCCCTGATTTCCTGGAGGCACTTCTTAACGGCACCTGCCAGCCTGGGGCAGGGCTGCCCACCACTTGGCCGGGACTGACCGCTGACCCTCCGATTGTCACAGACAGGCGTGGCAATCAGTCCCCCTGAAGTCAGCGTGAGGTGGACCCTGGGGGAACCAGGAGGGGAGGTCCGGACCTCCTTGTCCTCTGTCCCCTCATGACCCAGAGTCCGGAATAAGACAAAGAGACTCTGTTCTGAAATGGCCCTGCTGCCATAGGGGCTCGGGGGATGGGCAGGGACACAGGAAGCCCCTCTGACCCGGAGCATGTGTTTCCCTTCCTCCTTGACCACCCCAGGGAACACCTACTCTGGTCACTTTGTCCTGGGAGAGCCGCAGGGCCACGGCATCATGAAGTACGGAGCTGGGGGTTATTACGAGGGAGCGATGTTCCACGGCATGAGAGAAGGTCTGACGTCCACCAGAACTCGGGGCACATTGGCAGTTTGTCAGCACCCCCGCCCGACGGGGGGAAGCAGTGGGCTGGGTGGGCTCGGGGACCTGCACCTGACCAGGGCGCCCAGTGCCCTGTGGGTCCAAGAGCCCAGCCCCTGCGTGGCTGTGTGGGCAGGACGGAGGCGTGCGCTCCTCACTGTCCCCAGAGCCTCTGGTCAGTGCCCCGTGTGCAGGGCCGTGACAGCAATGTTAGTCCCCACTGTGTGACAGCCACCCAGAACCTAGGGGCTGGAAGCGACCGCCGTTTAACTACTTGCTCACGATTCCAGGGTGAAAGGTGTGGCCTGGGTGCAGGGGAACAGGTCTTCTGGCCTGGCGTGGGGTTGCCAGATGGCTGCAACCATAGCAGCCCGGCTGGGCCCATGGCCCGCAGGGTCGTCTCCATTGCCTCTGGGCTCCCAGGGGCCTCAGCTGGCTCTGTCCTCCCCACCCTGCCAGACAGCAAGACTGGAGGCTGCACCTGGGAACAGGGGCAGGACCATGTTTCAGGAGGGCGCAGCCCACAGGCCGAGGGTCGTGGTTCCTGGAGGCCGAGCTGCCCCCAGAGGCAAGCAGGACAGTCAGTCATCCGAGTGTCCACTCACTCTAGACGTGGGTCACACTTCTGACCACCTGGAGCCAGAAAAGCTTGAACGCAGCACAGCAGGCTGTTCTCAAGAGTGTCCTGTCTGTGGATCAGGTCCTCCAGCCACCCACGCATGGCTTCCTGTGAACACACCCGCACACGGGTCAGACCCAGTGCCGCGTCACGCCTGCGGACAGCAGGGGGCTCAAGCCCGCATGTGGGTCCGGGCCCCTCAGTGCTGGCCCTGCCCCTCCCGCAGGGCCCGCGAGGCTGCTGCCCTGGTGCGGAGGCTGCTAGTGCCGGACGACCGCGCCCCTCCCAGGGCAGCGGCCCTGGGGCCAGGGTGCTGTGTCCTGTGGGTCCTGCCTTGTCCTTTAGGCCCCACCTTTCTGCTCTGGGGAGGGTCTGCCTGCCACTGGAGGAAAGTGACACTGGTCCCTCGGCTCCACCCCAGGACTCGGGTGTCTGGTGGACCAGGACGGGAACGTGTACCGAGGGTCCTTTCACAGCAACAAGCAGCACGGCCAAGGGCACGTGGCCTTTCGGTGAGTGTGTGGCCTAACACCTGGCCCCTGGTCCCAGGGCCCGCTGGCTTTGGCGCGGCTGGAGCTGGGTGTCCGGGTGGTGGAGCACGAACCCCGCCCCCCACAGCACACTCGGGAGGTCGGGAGGGTGGAGGGGCCAGCAGGGGCCCCGGGCTGGACATCAGGCCCGTGACACCCGGACCGGCTCCTCGGCCGACACCCTGCCTCCGGAACCCACCTTCCCCTTTCCTCCGCTGCCGCCTCCCCCAGCCCCGCACACCGGGTTGGGGACAAGTGGCTGCCTGCCCGTCAGGACGGGCGCCTGGTGCCCTGGCGGCTCCGGCCATCTGCTCGGGGCCTATTTCTGCCTGGGTCCCAGCAGCGCACGCTGAGCCCAGTCGGCGGGGCCAGCCTGAGTCAACACTGCCACCTGGCCACCCTGCCTGAGAGAGGCCTCTATGTGTGCCCCTCAGGAACGGTGACACGTATGACGGCGACTGGGTCCGGGGCCAGCGTCAGGGCCACGGGGTGCTGCGCTGCGCGGACGGCTCCACCTACGAGGTACCTGGGCCTCCTCCTCTCGGGGCGCTGTGCCCATGTGGCCTCCACCACCCTGCCCTCGGCGGGGGGCGGGGGGACGGCAACTGCCCCCACTGCACCAGTAACAAAACCAAGGCTCGGGGGAGGCAGGGTGGGTGCCCGTCTGCTCCTGGGGGGCCAGGCCCTGTGTCCCACTCTGCGCCGCCCACCTGGTCGCTGCAGCGGGTGCCACCCCTCAGGGTGGGGCTGCGGGTCTGTGAGGAGGTTCAGGGGTGCCGGGAGCCCTCTTGGGACCCAGGGCCCACCCTTCTTTCTTCCCCCAGATGCTGGCCTGTGGGCCAGATGGATGAAAAACAAGCGGAGCCAGGGTGGGCGTGGGTGTGCCCTCACCCACGCCCGTTAGTGTGGGAGCCCCGGTGTGGACAAGCCGCCCCACCGGACCTTTAAAAACTGCTGTTAGCCAGAGCGCCATCCTGTCTGGGCGTCACCGTGTGAGCTGAGGCCTGAGTGGAGACCAGGAGTAGCCACGGGAAGGCCGCGCCTGGCTGGGTCAGAGTTTATTCCAGGCATCACCAGAGGTGCTGGCAGGAGCTGGTGGTGGCCCGATCTTGGTGTTCAGGGGTCTTTCTGGTCACTCGGGGGATCCTGCCGTCAGCGGGACCGGTGACGGGCCCACGTGGAGCATGCAGCACCTATAGGGCATTGGCAGGGGAAGGTCCCGGCCTCACTGCCAGAGCCGAGCTGGCTTCCGAGCCCAAGCAGCCCCACTGAGCAGGGGCTGCAGCGGCGACGGCCAGGCCAGCCTCCTCTGTTCTCCTGAGCTTCTGTGTCCACTTCGCCCCACCCCGTGTGTGGGCCTCGGCGGCTGCAGGTGCCCATCTGTGCCTGAGCCCCTGCGCAAACGCTGCTGTGGCCTGTGGAAGCCCTGTCTGCAGGGTGTCTGTCTAGCCTCCTGGGACCAGCCTCAGGGCCCGGCACAAACCCTAGAGCTTCCAGGGAACTGCAGGGAGACCTGGGTGGAACCCTCTCTGCCCTCGCCAGCCTGGAGTTAGTCACTTGCGGTGTCAGATTTCACATTCTCGGCCTCCTCGGCTCCTGACACCCAGAAGGAAGGACCCTTTGCCGCTCTGTAGAGGCAGAAGCAGGGGCGCAGAGGAGACCTCCCAGACCAGGGAGTGAGTGGCAGAGCCACCTCGAGCCCCGGCCCCCATGCCCTCCAGACCTGGGCCCACGGGCCCCACCAGGATGCAGGCAGCGTGGGTGTGCAGGCGGGTGGGGCTGGCAGAGAGCTTCCCGTCCTTCCAGGGACGGCAATGGCTTTATCCTGGAGGCTGGTCTGTCCCTTGGCACCCTCAGCCTCTCCGTGGGTCAGGGCATCCAGGTCTGGACACGGTCTGCCCCCCTCAGGCCTCAGGCTGCCGCCCCCCTGCTCACCACCAGGGGGCGGCACAGCCCCGGCGGCAGCCTGCAGCTCCCCACTGGTTCCGGGCTGGGCTTGGTGGGGGGCGGGACGGCCTGGGCTGCAGCTTTGTTGGAAGGGTGAGGAGCGGGCAGCTGGCTGGACAGTGGCCCCTCGGAGTCCCCGGTCACCCTGGCCCGGCCTGCAGATGCCAGGACCCCAACAAGCCCTCGGGAGGCAGCAGCGTCACCGACCTGGAACGTTGTGCGGGTGCCCACACGTCCCTCCCATTCGGGAGCCTGGTGTTTGCTGCGCGTCCCCAGGGTTCAGACACTGCCCGCCCACCAGGCCGCTCAGTGGTGTCCACACCTTGTGGACCCTCCTGTGCAGAGGGACGCCCCGCCACGGCCCGAGGCCGGGACACCCCACCCCCGGGCCTCGACCCGGCCTGAACGGTGCCGGCTTCCGTGAGCGGCAGACCCAGGTCTGCCTGGGCACGGCGGGCGCAGAAGCAGCCCCCGGGAAGGCACACGACCTTCCTCAGAGAAACCAGCCTCGGGTTTCCAGGAAGCTGGGAAGTGCTTCCTGCGCTGAGAGCAGGGTCCAGCACTTACTTCCGACAGTTCATTCCAGAGCATTCGGCACGTGGAGGCCAAGTGCTGTCAGGGAGAGGGGCCTGGGGCCGGGCCAGCCTGACACTCAGCCTGGGGCGCCCAGCGGCCCAGCCGGCGGGACACAGACGTAGCCCCCCTCACGGTTGCTCGTGAGAACACGCCCCACACAGGGCTCCCCCCCCCCAGTCCCACGGGGGCCAGCCACACAGGGGTCCCCGCCCGGCCTTGCCAGGCCCTGCCCAGGCAGGGTGGAGAGACAGCGGTGTGTGCGCCTGTGCTGGTCCCGGCCTCTGGGGGAAAGGGCAGACGTTCCCAGGCGTGGTTTGCGACACCCACTGCAAGTGTCCGCCCTGCTGCTGTGACACTTCTCATGGGGACGTGTCACCCGGTTCTGGTCCATTACCCAGAACAGGGCTGTGGGCCCGCCTCGGGCGCCCCTCCTTTGTGACCAGCCTCGACTGCTCTGGACCCAGACAGGGCCCCGCCCCTCGGTGGGGCGCGTGGCTTCGTGGGCAGGGCCGGTCCCACGGGCCTGTCTGCACCGCCACCCCCAGGGCACCTGGGCCTGGAGCCCGGCCTCAGCCACGCTTCCTTCCCGGCGTTCCTTTCCCCCGCCTGCAGCTCCCGTTGCAGAGACCCGGGGTCCCCTGTGGGCAGCAGCCCCAAGGAGGGCACCGGCCGCAGCCCCCTGTCCCCGCTCGGCGTCCTGGGCCCCATGGAGGACGGCGCAGGAACCGGGCCCGACTGGCTTCTGCGGAAGAGGACACAGAACCAAACAGACTGCCAGTCACTCTCTTCCAATTCACAGGCGTATAAAACGCTCTCGCAATCTCGAAACTTTCCACAGAAATGAGTTCCCTGATGTTTCACACTGTGATCCCCCCGCCGTGTGCGAGGCTTAGAAAGAGGCTCATTGTGGGGGCGGCCGCCCGGGGGGAGCGGCAGGCAGGCTCGCCGGGCCTGCGGCTGAGTGGGCGCGAACGGGCTCCGGTGGGCCTTTTTGTGGTCATGGGGCCACCCTCCTCCCTACGGCGCCTCAGCCCCCCCCCCCCGTGGCTGCGCGGAGGCTCAGCCTCCTCGCTGGTGCCACGTCTCTTGCTGGAAGGCTCTTCCTGCCAGAAAGTGCGCACCTCGCGGCACTCGGGTTTGGGGCCTGCGCCGCTGCTCCCTGACCTCCTGGCTCCGTGACATTCTGTGTGGACACACGCGAAGCATTCAGAGGCAGGGCGAGTTCCCACCCCGAGGACCACGGGGTCCCCCGGGGCCGAGCAGGCCCCCCGGCCCCGTGTCCCGCATCCTGGGCAGATGGGGCCTGCTGAGCCCCCTGGTTCTCTCTGCAGGGACAGTGGCACAGTGATGTCTTCAGTGGCCTGGGCAGCATGGCCCACTGCTCCGGGGTCGTCTATCGGGGCATGTGGATCAACGGCCACCCAGTGGGTAGGTGTCCCCGGCCCCCCGAGCCACTTGAGGGCCTCGGGTGGGGTCGCCTCTCGGTCTGGGTCCTCTCAAGTCACGTGGGAGTCTTTGGACCCAGGGGCAGGGGAGGGGGCGGGGGGCTGGGGTGAACGGAATCCGAAATCCTACACGAGAAGCACATTTCAGTGTGGTTCGGAAGGGGGCCTGCTGCGGGCAAGGCCCCCGGTCCCAGGGTCCCCCACCCACAGGGCCTGTGCCTCTGCATCCTCAGCCTCCATCCTGCCCCCACCTGAGCGCCCTGCTCTGTGATGTGAGCCGGCAGGGGCCTCCTCTGGGGGGCTGCCTCCGAGCATTACAGTGGGGTGCCACCCTGCTCCTGTCCAGGACAGGGGGCCACACCAGCACCCTTGGTGGGGAAAGGCGCCAGGGGCACCAATGTCAACTGCCCCAGCCCACGAGCCAGATGGACTCAGAGTGGGGGCCAAAGTCCCAGGAGGGGAAGGGGCCAGGGCTGGGGGGAGGAGCCCTGGCCCCCCAGGCACACCCCCGGGGGTACATGGCCACCCCACAGCCAGGGCTCAGGGCTGGGCCCAGGCACCCCCGCTCAGGGGGAGGCCCCGATCCCCCCGCCCCCCAGCCTCAGGCGGGGCTCGGGTCCTCCTCTCAGCAGCATCGCCCTGGGAAGGAACCAGGTCTCCCCCCCTCAGACTCGGCGTCCTGCCAGAAGCCCTGGGTGGGACACAGCCTCGCTTCCCCCGTCAGAGTCCCGGCCGGCCACCCCGCAGCCCCACACACACCTGGTGGATGCCCCGCAGCCCCTTTAACCCGGTCCAGTCCGCCCCGAAACGGCCACTTCGGGGGACAGCAGCTGGCCCCGCGGTGGCCGCCCCATCTCAGTCTCACTGACGCCTGGGCCGCTCCTCAGAGGGAGGGACGCCGTCCGCACGCTCAGACCTGCCGGCGGGGCCCCTCTCAGTTCCACAGGGTGTCCTGCCCGTTAGGGGAGAGGCCCCGCAGTGGGGTGGGACCCAACCCCGGCGGGCAGCACCCAGCACCCAGCACCCAGCACCCAGCAGCGCCGCCTCCACTCTCTCCCAGCGCGAGCTGCGAGGATCGTGATTCTGGGCCCGGAGATGACGTGCGTGGCCGCCGGCTCCTCGTTCCCGGTGTGCGTTCAGCTGCAGCAGGAGGACGGGGCCGTGGCCGAGAGTAAGCATCCCCGTGGGGGTGGCCGACCTTTTCAGAACGATGACCAGGTGTCGGGTTCTAGGACAGGAAGCCACGAGTATGACAGTGCGTGTGTGGGTGTGTGTGGACACGCGTGCTCTGTGTGCTCGTGGTTGTCACATACCTCGTGGAGCGAGAGGACAGTAGCTGTGGCCCCATGTGCGTGAGCGCAGGCCAGGCTCCACCCCACGCAGTGACAGGTCCCCGTCCCTCGGGCTGCTCTCTCATGTGACCCAGCCCTGTGGTGCTGGGGGGGCGGACACGCTGACACCCCACAGCCCTTCTAAGGGGAGAGCGAGCCCCCCACCCGAGACACCGTGGGGGCCGGCCCACCCACCAGCGAACCCCCAAGGCCGCTGCACACTGACCCCGCTCCGTGCAGCGCACCATGAAATTCACCCACGTTGGGCCCTGGCTGGTGTGGCTCAGTGGACTGAGTGCAGGCCTGTGAATCAAATGGTCGCAGGTTCGATTCCCAGTCAGAGCACACGCCTGGGTTGCAGGCCAGGTTCCTAGTGCAGGGCACGCGAGAGGCAATCACACACTGATATTTCTCTCCCTCTCTCACCTTTCCTTCCCCTCTCTCTAAAAATAAATAAATAAAATATTTTTTTAAAAGAAAGAAACCACATTAAAAAAATTCACCCACGTTGGCCACTCCACGACCTCCCGTGGATTGGTGGCCGGGCAGCCCTCCCCGCCATGGGCACGTCCTCCATCCTGCTTCCATTTCCGTCAACCTCCAGGTCCTCCTTTTGACGCTCTGTTGCTAGGGCATCAACGCGGGGGATTCTTATGCCACGGAATTCACTGACCCCTCCTTGTGGCGCCCTGGCCGTGGTCACCCCTGGTGACGGCTCTGCCCGCCCTCCGCCGTCCTGGTACTCGGCGGGACGCGGTACTGGGCGCCCCAGCTGTGTGGTCCGCATCCCCGCCTTTTCGCCGCGACCCGCAGGCGGCTGTGCCCCCTCCAGCCGCGCCGGCATCCCCGCCTCTCAGCCGAGGGGCTCGCACCATCCGGTTCCCTGCGATGGCTGCTACGCAGGTTCGACGCCCGGTCTCGCTGTCTGTTCCCCACTTTCCTCGGCAGTCTCTTCCGCTTTGCGCTCAACTGCTACCTCTTTGGACCGAGTGCCTTTCCTTGCTTCATTGCATCTCCTTTACCGTTGGCTTCGTCTTCGCCGCCCTTCCTTTGGTTATTGTAGGGGCTGAGAGTGAACAACCCTCTATCTCACCCACCGGCCCCCAGGCTTCTCCGCCTGCGGCAGGCGGGCGAGTCACTCCACCCCGTCTCCCTGCAGCTGGTGTCCCCCGTCCGACCACTTCCTGACGCACAGCCACCGCTTTTGTTTAGACGCCACTCGCCTTTTGGACAGTGTTCAACTTCCCTGACCCCTGTGGCTCAGTGGGTTGGGCAAGTCACTAGCGAGAGGTCACAGGCTCGATTTCTGGTCGGTTCACAGGCCTGGGTTGCAGGCCGGGCCCCTGGGGGGGGGGGCCGCGTACAGGAGGCATCCGATCCATGTTTCCCTCTCGACGTTGATATTTCCCTCTCTCTCCTTCTCCCTCTTCTCCTCTCTCTCTAATAAATGAATAAACACATAAAAATGGAGAAAGAGCGTGGAATGCAAAGGAGGGGGCCTCCCCCGCGTGGCCACATCCTGGCTCTGCTCCGTCCTCCCAGGCCCCCTGGGGACACTCGCCCTTCTGCCCGAAGGATTTAGCCTAACATTTCTTGTCACTCAGGTTTTCTGGTGACGGGTTCTTCCAGCTTTCGAGGGTCTGTGAATGTCTTGCATGTACTTTCATTTTTCACTGTGGTTTTCCTTGTGCCCTGGCCTGAGGGCGGGCTCGCCCCAGGTGCCCGTGCGGCGCCCAGTCCGCTGAGCCAGCGGCCTGGTGACGGGGCCACGCAGCCCGTTCCCTGCCTTGCAGGGCTGCCTGTCCTGCCTGGTGCCCAGGACCCGGGGACCAGTGTCGCTCTGTGTGTCCTGTGCTTCTTGGCTGCCAGACGCAGGAGGGCGAACCAGCTCTGGCGGCTCCATCTGGACCTGAACCTGTCGGAGCCGATCGGACTGCGGCTGTTTTTCAGGCCACACGTGGCTCCGCGTCTTCCCAAGTCCGGGTCCTTCCTGGGTCTGCCCGGCTGCGCCTTCCCCAGGTCTCAGCCCCGGGGGCCTGAGGGGCAGTCAGTGGCTGCCACCGCCCCTCCTTCTCAATCGGACCCTGAGCCCCGGAGCCCTTGGGACCAGCCCTGTCCTGGGTACCGTGGAGGCGCAGATGGGTTTGACAGCTGGTCCCTGGGTCAGGGCGGAAGATGGGTAGTGGGGGGCCATGTGCCCCAGGTGGCCAGGCCCAGGAGGGAGGCAAGCCTCCGGGTGTCTGCCTGTGCCATTGCACGGCCAGCGGACGCCCTCCATTGGGACCTGCCAGCGCCAGAGGCACGGTGGGCACCCTGGGCCCTGAACCGGCTCGGGAACGAGCAGTGTGGACGGCTCTGCTGAAGGGCTGGGGGGCAGCGAAGGTCGCACGAGGTGCAGCTGGGGCTGTGTTGTGAAGGCCCCGCCCCAGGCCCAGCTCCCTGAGCCCCAGGGGAGGAGCCCGGGCCCTTGGGGCTGCTCCCCTGCCCCTGGCACACTGGGCTTCTGTCTCCTTCTGGAAGGCGAGGATGGCCGGGTGCTGAGGGTCTCGGCGGGCGTCAGATACGTGCAGCTCCCGGCCCACTCGGACGTCTGCTTCTTCCACGTGGACCAGGACAGGCGGGAGGCGCCCATCCAGACCCCATTGTGAGTCGGGGTGTCCGGGAAACCCCCATGTGGGGCAGGGGTCAAGGAGGAGGGGACTGAGCGGAGGCCCCTGGGAGGTCCACGAGGCTCCCCCCAGCACAGGTGGCCCAGCAGGGCCCAGCAGACACAGCCGTCAGAAGGGAGGGAGCACAGGCGCCCAGTGGGTGCTGGCCAGGCAGAGACCCGGGGGCCAGGTGACCCGGCCCCCACATGGAGCTGACCCACCGCTGCTGTCCCTCCACAGTGGGTTCGAGTGCATTGCCTACCCGCTGTCCAGCGCCTCCCTTGGCAGCCCGGAGCCCAGAGCCGCCCCGGAAAGCACCAGAGACCTGGGGGCAGCGCTGACGTCAGACGCCTTGCATGGCCGGGGGGACACCCCCGGTGACCTGCCTGGTGAGTGGAGGGGACATGTGGTCAGCAGCGGGCAGTGCGTCGGTGGCAGCAGCTGCCCAGACCTGGACGCAGTGGACCTGGGGGCAGGCTGTCCCGGGGGATCGTGCGCAGCCCACAGGCCCTGAGGGACAGCAGACAGCACGCCGCCCTCGGGACAGTCCCCACACAGCGGGGACACCTGGAGGTGCCCCACCCCTGCCCCCGCCCCGCCCCCCGCAGGCAGCTCAGGGCCCCATGTTTCTGTCCAGCTGAGACCCTCTCGGTCGGAGCTGTAGGCGGCTCAGCTCCTGCTGAATCACGGCCGCGTGGAGGCTGCCTCGGGCCCAGGGCCCCCGCCCGACATGTATCTGGGACCAAGTGGGGATGACAGGCCGGGCTGCTATTTCTCCACCCTCTTCCAGCCAAAGGTCCCTGTGCCTGTGTTTCCCTCTCCTGCAAAGTGAGGCCACAGCCACGGCTGCCCCCGGGACGGCTGCCCCCGAGTCCCCACCACAGGCGCGGGGAGGGGCCCTTTCTGCTCTCTAGTCCCTTAAAGCCGGCATTTCCCTCTCGGGACAGCTCACCCCTGAACCCTGGGCAGGACTGACCTTGCTGCGGCCACCAGAGGTGCCCGCACGAGACACTCAGCCCTTTGCACAGGGGCCTGTCTGCTCTGGGCCACGGCCATGCTGGCCATCTGCTGTCCCCCTGGTGGACTCTGCAGAGGAAATGACCTAGCGGTGGATTTCAGTTCTGCCGTTGGGAGGACAGTGGCCAGGAGAGAACCAGAAATGGCAATGGCCGCAGCAAGGGGTCCACTCTGCCCACCTTTACGCCTCACCTTGCAATTCAGAGTTCGGGGCGGGCCCCGATCACCAGGCTCTGGGGGACTGCACAAGCGCCAGCCATCACGCCCCTGTTCCAGCTAGCAGGAGGGGAAGCTTGAGGCGCACAGAAGCCTCCTGGGCGCCACACCTCGCCAGGCACAGGGAGACAGGAAACGGCTTGCCAGCCAAAACCTGGGTCTGTGACTGCGCGGCAGGGGGCGGCACATACCCCGTGCCAGGTGGCCGTCTCTGCCAAATGCTCCGGAAACTCAGATGAGAGACCCGCTGTCAGCCGACACCCCTGGGCCCCGCGGGGTGCACCGCCCTCGGGACCACACGGGCAGGGGCCTGGCCACTCAGGCAGCCGAGGCCAGTGCCCCGTCGGCACCTGCCCAGGGAAGCAGGTGACCGGCCATGCACTGCTGCCACCTCTCCCTCTTGTCCACGGACGTCGGGCAGTGAGTGACAAAGACCCCCTGGTGGTGAAGACGTGCAGACGGACGCACGTCCCTCCACCCAGCAGGGAGTGTGGGGGCCGGCCCCGAGCCTGCTGCCGGCATCTGCAGCTCACGAGGGTCTCGGGGAGCAGGTGGCCCCCGGAGGGGTGGGCTGCCGGGCAAGTGCCGCGAGGAGCCGACACCCCACACCCTGTCGCAGGCCCGCAGCAGGGCCCCGCGGCCACCACCTGTCCTGGACGGGAGACCCCCCAGGTCCTGAGCACGGGCCCAGTGGGTGGAGGCGGGGCTGCAGGTCTGTCCCCCGTGAAACCATCCTCAGTGTCCTGGTTGGACTCCAGCGGTCAGCAGGGGGCGCGGGCAGCCTGGCCGCCGCTGTGAGCGCCGCCTGGAAGGGACACCTCTGTTCAGCAGAACGTTCCAGCTGCCATCCGGACCCACACCTGTGAGCCGGGAGGGGCTGTCCTCGGCGCCGGGGGAGAGCAGGGAGGGGGCGTGCTCTGTGCCGCCTCTGGAGGAGAACGGGCACGTGTCACGTCGCACGTTTAAAGTGATGGCCCATGTTCCGCCATGTTCTAGAACTCGGGCACATGCTGGCAGCTGGGGGTGCGTGGAGCTTGTCCCCAGGAGGTGGGCACAGCCACAGGGACCCACCCCTGACATCACGTCCCTTCCCCGGGCAGCCCGGGTCTCTCTGATGGAAGGAGGTGTGTGTCCCCATCCCCTATGGGCTTCGCAACGTGAAGCCATGGAGCCTGGTGCCTTAGCACTCGGGGGAGAGGAGCCCTGGAGTCCACTGCCCACTGGGCAAGGCCACTGGGTCTCAGCCCCGCCCCCACCGTGCAGGGCCCACCCAGCGCCCACCCTGGAGCTGGCCACCTCCATGCCCGGTGGGACCAAGTTCTTGGCCCAAGACAGGCAATTAAGAAGATAAACCCTCTACACACGTGGCTTCCAGTCGTACGAGGAAGCGCAGGGAGGAGAGAGACGGCCTCTTCCCGGAGGCCTGCTGTGGCCCTGCGTCCCGCTGCCTGTTGATGTGAAATATTTCGGCGGCTTGCTTGTTTCTAACCCTCATTGAGAAGAAAAGGCAATTCCCTCTACACGTGGTCGATGGCCAGACAACCTGAACGCAGTTCCAGTTTAATTCCAGCACCTAGAATTCACTGACAAAGCGCGTTGATTTTACATTCAGACAGATTTTTGTTTGTGGCTTGTTAACCTTCTGTAGCTCCCACCCACAGCTCTGAACGGCGGGACCCATTTTTGGGACCCACCACCATCGGCGGGACCTCTGCCCCCGACCCCTGTCCCTCAAGCCCGTTGGGTCAACGCAGGTGCGGACGGGGGCCGAGGGGCCCGGTCAGGCTGGGGGCGCCCAGCGGCGCACACAATCCCCCGCAGATCGTATCTGGAAACCCGAAGAGCTGCAGCCGCCAGAGAGAACCTCGGGCTGCTTTTTCTCTTTCTTTTTCCCTTTTCGTTTTTAACGCACAAAGCCCTCCCAGGAGGTGTCTCCCGCGGAGCTGAGTGGCTGGCTCCCTTTTCCCTGCGCTGAGCACGCGGCTCTGGGCGTCCATCAGACGGGGTCTCAGAAGAAGTGCCCGTCATTGTGAGACAGTTTTAAAAACCAAGGTGCCTTTGGCCGCTAAACCTGTGGCGCCACTAAAACTGACGGGCCGTGTCTCGGAGAACTGGGGGCGACCTTGCTGCCTCTGGCAGGGCTGCGGTCTGCAGTTCGTGCAGCGGAGAGGTGTGGGGGTCTGCGCATTTCAAGGAAAACCTGGGCCTCAGCTTCTAGTCTGGGGACCGCCACACACACAGGCCGTCCTAGAGAGGGACCAGAGGACGCCGCACAGGCGTGCAGCTGGGACAGCAGGGACTGCCTCAGACGCCGGGCGTGAGGGGCCGCCCGCCTGGAGCCAGGCGCCAGAGCAGGGGCGCAGGGCCCAGAGGTCACAGCACCTGGCTGCATCCCTGTCACCCCTCCCACTGTCCCCATGAGGGCTGGTCACCTGCCCTCCTGCTCCTCCACCACCCAGGACGTGCTGCAGCTTCGGGCTGGGGCAGAGCGGGTTAGTGGCTCCTCAGGGAGCCCGTGGGGTGTTTGCCCGCCTCGCCCTGACCGTGCCAGACGGGTGCCCCAGCTCCGGCACCTGCCCCTCGACCTGCACTCGAACAGCTCCTGCAAACAGGGGCAGGCAGCAGAAGCAGACTTGGAAAGAACCCCCATCAGCCCCGGGTCTTGGTGGCTGGCCAGCGAAACATGCCCCCTTTCGAGTTCCATTTTCGATTCCAGCCCCTCGGGGCACCCAGCAGCAAAAACAGGTGTGCTGTGCCCCAAGGTGGGGGGCACGGCGTTGTGTCCAGGAGGGGCTTAGCAGCCAGCTTGGGGCCAGCAAGACGGACGGCTGCTCGCGGAGAAACTTTGGCAACAGGGACAGTGCGACCACTGGAGGCGGTGGCTCCAAGGTGCGCACACTGTGTCCTCACTCCTCCAACCACACAGGGGGCCCGTGGGGACATCCACTTCGTGTCAGACTCGTTTTCCGTGCCTCAGAACGTGTGCTGGGCAGAGGAGGCCCTCCAAATAGTGACCCGGCTCCTGTGGGGGTGCCATGGGGCCGGGCACGGTCTGGGTGACCAGGGCCAGTGGACATGGGACCTCACGCCCACCTCTCCGGGCCCCAGCCGGGCCACCGGTCCCCTTGCTGGCCTGCCTCTCACTCAAGATGCTGCGGGGTGTCAGGTGCACCCAGGGGACAGCAGCTCTTGACGCTCAGCCCTTCGTGGGAAGAGCACGCAGGTTTCGCTCTGGCAGCCTGGGCCACGGTGACGGGACTGCCAGCCTTTCCCGCCTCTTCCCTTCCCGGTCCCTCTCCTGGTGCCTCAGGGTGCGCAGATGGCAGACTGCGGCTGAAGCAAGGGCTGCAGGGCCAGGAGGCCGAGGCTGGGGGAGGGGTCCCTGCTCCACCTCTGTCCCCTGCGGGGCTGGGCAGCCTTCCCCCCATCCCCCTCGTTGGCCACCATCGGTCAAGGGCCCAGAGGTGCACAGCCCAGGCTGCAGCATCTCTGTACCGCTGTCATCCGTGTGCCCAGGACACGCGCGCCCCAGGCCCTGCTGCTGGGAGACCCTCCCCACGGGGCCCGCCTGGCCAGCCCTGAGGGACGGAGGGGCAGAAGCTGGTCCCAACGCCCAGAGCTCTCCTGGCTGGTCCCTCAGGGCACGCAGAGGCCACCCCTGTCAGGACCCCATAACTGTCTCCCTGCCGGTCCCCCAGGGTCTCCAGACTGCGGGGCCCAGAGGGCAGACTGGGCCCTCAGCCTGGGAAGATCTTGGCGGGAAGGGGCTCCTTGGGAGTGCGTGTGTGCCTGCCTGCACACGCATGCACACCCCGTGTGGGGCGCTCGGGCAGAGGAAGACAGGCCCGAACGCGCGCTGCCGGGCGAGCAGGGACCCGGTGCAGAGGGCCGGGCACTGAGGGAGCGTGCCCCCCTGGGGGCCCTCGGGCCACCTCCCCCTGCCGTGGGCCCTGGGGGCCCAGCACTGCGCGTCCCTGCGGTGGCAGGTTGCGCCGCCCCCTGTGCAGTGAGGCCCTTGGCTGGGCGGGTGTGCCCTCAGGACCAACGGGGTGTGTCTGTCACCTTTCTGACTCACTTAGCTGGAGCGAGCGTTTAGGGCGGCCGCTGGAGGCCTGTTTATTCCGGTGGTTTCCTGTCCTACACAGGTGACTGGGGAGCCTAATTGTGTCGGCTGTTAAGAGATAATTAATAGACGTTTCCCTCCCAGCGAGGTCAGGCCGCCCGATCCCCCTGGCGGCCCAGCCCCCATCCGCAGTGCCCCTCCACGGGGCAGCACGGTGACCTTTCTCTCACGGATAAGCTACAGCTGCCACCGCTACAGCCGTCGTCTCTGAGTGCGGAGCTGGGCCTCTGCTCCCGGGCCCGGCCTGGAGGCCGTCCTGGCCGGGAGCACCCCCAGAAACGTGCCGGAGCCACTTGGGCCCCCCAGGACGGGCAGGACCCTCCATTCTCTCGGCACGCTGCCCAGGGTCTGTGGAGCCCCAGCAGGCCTGCGGCTCGGCCCCAAGGGCAGGCAGGGTGTCAGCCAGGTCTGACTTCCTCTGGGTGGGACCTGCCAGCCTCCCCTTCAGTGGTGCGGCCCCCGGGGCCCATGTCTGCAGGAGCGAGGGGGGTGAGCACAGGGACTCAGGGGTGTGATTCGAGGGTGCAGCCCGGAGTGCAGGAGAGACGGGGCAACATGGGCCCCACCTGGAGCGTGAGAGGTGGAGGCAGGGGCCAGGAGGTGGAACCCGCCGTGGGGCTGTGGAGAGGCCAGGACTGGAGGCAGGGTGCGGGGTGTCACCAGGTTCCCGGCCGAGGAACCAGGAAGGGGGTGCTCTCTCGCCGAGAGGGAGACAGGAGAGGTGGGAATCGGGTTGGGGCACAGTGGCATCAGTGACGGGAGGGAGGCAGCAGGAAAGGTCACTGCAGCCTATGAGCCAGGGAGCAAGTGGGGCTCTGGGGGCCGACGCCAGGGGTGGGGACAGCAGGCCCAGGATGTGGGACACGTGACCTTCAGCAAATGGAGAGAAGCCTCGTGCCAACCGTCCCCCCACCACTGGGCAGGCACAGCCTGGAATGGGTGTTTAATGACTAGAGTCCCCACCGTCACCTCCCAAGAGCTGTCACTTCCCCAGGGGGACTGCAGGCCACACAGGGCCCCCTGGCCCCCGCTCCACCCCCAACGCTCCTCGCCACCATCCGCACTGGGGGCAGATCACCCCGCAGGGGGCTGGCTGGACAGACCGGAGGCAGCGGGAGGGCGTCAGAGAAGGAGGGTCGGCGTGCTCAGCCTGAGGTGGAGGGAGCCTGGCCCACTGGCCAGGCCCTGGGGTCAGAGAGGGGGTGGGCCTGGCTTCCCAGGAGACCACCCGGTGAGGGAGGCCGCAGGAGTCCCACCAAGGGTAGTGTGTCATCAGGAGGAAGTGCTGGGGCCCCGGGGCTGTGAGGGAGAGCACTCGGAAGGTGGAATGGGACTCGGGTGAGGGAGGGACAGGGGACCCAGCCCCCGGCCCCAGGGCCGTCCTGCTCCAGCCCTGCCGCCCACGTGGCCACCTCTCTGGGGTCTGTGCTTTGTGATGCTGGAAGGGCCTTCTGTCCATTTTTCTGGGAAAACCTCTCTACCCTCAGCAGGGGGACGCAGTGCCTGCTGCCCGGAGGACTGCCGGCGGGTGGAGCGCGGCCGTGCCGAGTTCCTGGACATCCGCCTCGGGCCCCCTCCGCCCGGGTACCACCCCATCCCGTTCCTGGACTGCCTGAGTAAGGTGGGGGCAGGGGACCCCCCAGGACTGAGTCCACATGCTGCCCAACCCTGCAGCCAGCGTGTCGGGGTGCACGGAGGGGAGCAACCAGGGACCCCCCTGAGTGCCTCCCTGCTGCTCTAAGCAGAAGGCGAGCAGCAGGCCCGGGGGCGACCTGGGCCCCAGGACAGGGGCGCCCACTGTGCGGGACCCACCCGGAGGCAGCAGGTAGGAGAGCTCGTCCCTCTCACGGACTTTGGGGGGTGGTCTGTCGCCCCGCCCCTGGGCCACGGCTGTGCACCTTCTCTGCACGCCTGCCTTGGTTTCCCCCAGCCTTCGACACCACAGATACTGTGGGCCGCCACAGGCCCAGGGGTGGGAATGGTTTCCAAGGCCTAGAGAGTGGGGACTCTGGGCTTGCTCCCTGGGTGGGGGCACACGGCCTGGTCTAGCACCGAGGAGGAGACTCGCCCGGCAGCAGAAGCAGCGCAAGGTGGCCCCAGCAGGGTCCTTGCAGCTGCCAGCCCCTCCGGGACTTGCTCAGACAGGTTGAGGCAGGCAGAGCATAGCAGCCACTTGCCCGAGGGACACTCTTCAGGCGGGTGGGCCAGGGGGTACCGTGGGATGCACCGGTCCTCGGTGCTGGGGGCTCAGCTGGCTGTCTCGCGCCAGGGGCAAAGCCCACCCACCCTGCAGAGGAGACGGAGGCTTGTCCAGAGTCAGTTCGGACTCCCACTGGACAGGCCAGAGGGGCGACCGTGGCCTGTGGGGAGGCATGGCCCCGTTGCTCTGTGCTTCCGGTGATACCCTTTCCAGCCCAGGGAGGTGCGCTCCCTGGGAAGGCTCCCCTGGCCTCGGCTCTCAGGGGCAGTGTGTCCTTCCCCGACACACAGGCCACGGACACTCAGGTGAGACTGGACCTGGCCTCCCTCCCCCGGGAGCCGTGGGGGGGTGAGATGCAACACCTGAGCGACCAGCACTGCCGCCGGCCACCTGTAGCCTCCTTGCAGGCAGGGGTGGGGGGTCCTGGGACATGGAGGCAGAAGTCCCGGAAATGCAGCCCCCAGGCCCCGAGAGAAACCACCGCCCCTGACAGACACACGGCCTCCCCGGGGGACACAGAAGAGCCTCGGGGGCTGGGGGGATGGCAGGGCTCCGACCCTGCGTGGGGCCCGCCAGCCCCCCTGAAGCCAAGGCTGGCTCTCCGGGGAGCCTCGCACTGCCTGAAACCAGTGCACCTTTCTTGACGCCGCCAGCTGGGGTGGGAGGGAGGAGCGTCGAAACAGCCGCAGAAAGGGACAGAGGCCTCGGGCACAGACCCAGCTAACACACTCCAGGAAAACAAATAAATTCGGCGGAAGGGAGCAGCGGCTGCAGGTCCACCTGCAATGAGAGGACACATCGGTGCCACCAGGGACAGGGCACGAGCCGGGAACACTCGCGGCCGCCGCAGTGTAGCGAGCTGGTGAGCCTCGGATCCCGTGCAAAGCCGTCCGTCTGCGCCTGCGCCTGCGCCTGCGCCGCAGGGTGGACTAAACGTGGTGCGCGCTTGCGCAGTAGCTGCGGAGGCGCAGATGTGCAGGAACGTCCACAAGTGCTCAGTGTCTCCGGCGGAGACCTGCGGAGCGCCGACAGCTGACACTCAAGAGTCTCGGGAACCAAACCCGAGGTGCTCACCGTGGCAACTCGGACGTGAGCGTGAGGTGGAAACGTCTCATTTCAGCCAAAACAAGGCCTTGCGCCAATGGCCTGCAGAGCAGCGGGAGCGTGCAGCTCGGACCCCGGCCCTGCGGTGCTGCTGCGGGCCCCAGGGTCCCCGTATCTGAGACGGAGTTGTAATCAGCAGCCACAGTTGTGATCAGAATGTCCCAGGGGTTGGACATTTGCCAGGACTCGGCCACAGGACGGGACGGGGACAGGGAGGCCCCTGATACCCAGCTGCCCTGGCAGGAGCGTGTGAACGACAGACAGACCCACATGGGGTGGAGAAACTCGCGGGCTCCTGCCGACACAGGACCTTGGCGCTTTCTGGCCCCCTGTGCTTGTCACCCCTCCCCCTCAGCACCTGCCACCCCCTGTCCACCCCACCAGGCTGCCTTGGGCCATTGCAGGGACCCCAGGGCCAGACCCCAGAACAGCCAGGCCGGCCGCCTGCCCACCTGCATCCCAAACCACAATTTTGCCTTGTTGAACAACCTCCCTGCCTGAGTGCAGTGGCCTTCAAGCCAAGGCTGCAGGGGCACCCACGGGTCTCATCCAACACAGCCCCTGGGGACACAGGCCAGCGGCCACCGTTCCAGCCCAGAGCCAAGCTGACCTCGGCCACAGCCACCCCAGACTGCAGGCTTTCTCGTTTCCCTTGTCCCCCAGCAACCCCAGGACACCCCCATCTCAGGACCCACTGTGTCCCCTCGAGGAGGACGCAGACACTGACAGGCTGACCACAAACTGTCACTAATGCGTCTCCCACAAGTTCTGGTTTGGGGCCAGCCAGCAGACACACACCGTCAACGGCTCCCCGGGGCGCTCACAGCTGTGGCCAGAGCCCCCACACCCCACAGCCACCACTCGACAGCCCCTAACACCTGTCGGCAGCGTTCGGCCTGTCTGGTAATCCTCCGTCCCCACGAAGATGGGGGTGACGCCCATAATTTCGGTGGAATTCACTTGAGTGTTCCCGAGGACGGTGGTCTTCTGTCCCCACTTCAGGTGTGATTCCACAGCCTCTTCTCCGAGTGACGAAACCTACCTTTGTGCCCTAGAATCGGCACTTCCATGGGGCAAGTGGCTGAGGCTCTCGGTCTGGGGTGCAGGCAAGGGCCTCATGGACGCGCCCTACACACGGGCTCTCAGGCAGTGAGCCGCTCTGGGAAGGGGGCGCCTGCAACGGCGCTTGGGCCCCACCCCATGGAGTGAGGGGTTCACGCCCACAGGCAGTGTCCTGGTGACCTGACCAGGAGGGCCCGCTTGGTTGCAGAGGGTTGTGGCCATTCAACCCCGGTCCCCCACCCGTGGATAGGGCTCTGGCCTCTCCCTGCTGCTTCGTGAGTGGCTTCTGCGTTTGGCCGCCGAGCTGCTGGCTCACGTGCACCCCGATGCCAGGCCAGCCCACGCTGTGGGCCTGCCTCCCCGGGAAAGGCGGCTCCCGTGGCGGCCTCTTGCGTTCCTTCGGAGACATTCCTGACACGTCACGCAGCTCCACAACGTGACACAGAGCCCGTCGGTTCCTGAGTGAGGTGACGTGGTGTCAGCCACAAAACACAGACTCAGTTCCTAAATGCGGCCAGGAGTCAGCCGGCCGCCCGGAGGATTCCGGCAGAAGCGGGCATGGCGCCCCGCTCGCCTTCCCGAAAAACCCTAAGCTGAGCTTTGGGACCGAGCCGGCGCCTGCCGCCCCGCCGAGCCCCCAACCAGCTGTTGGGTGGGAAGTGCACGGCACGACCTTGCCCATGATTGCTCATTGACGGCTGGGCAAAGATGCCGGAGCCCTCCCCCAGACCGCTCAGAGAAAAATGGCTTTAATTAAGACTTCCGTGATTAGTCATTTAATCAGTCATTAGGCCAACACAGATGGCGCCAATTAATTTTTTTACTTAAGTACGTAGTTGGTCCTCACAGCCCCTCCACCTGGGCCGTGGGTGACCCCTGAGCATCGAGTCGACCACAGGCCTCTGTCCCCTTGAAAGGTGACCCCTCCTGGTGACCTAGCTCCTCAGCTACCCCAGCCACAGGACGACCGCCGCCTCCTCATCTGCTGAGTGCAGACCAGCCCTGGGGGGGCTCAGAGAGACTCTGAACAGGAGCCACAGCCCAGCGACCGCCGCTGTGTCAGGGACCCCGAGGCCTCCGACTGCAGCCCAGTCACCTCCGAGGACAGGTCCTGGATGTTCCGTCCCCCCCACTCTTGAGTCCCCCACCAGGCCCAGCCCAGGTTTGCCCCAAGAAATCCCGCGTGAGGTCCAGGGTGAAGTCCAAGGCTCCCGTCTGCAGCTCACTGGCGCTTGGCCTGGGTCCTGCGCGGTGCCCCTGGCGTTTGGCACCTGTCCGCCCCTCAGCTGGGAGGGCCTCCCCCACCACAGGGGTGTGTCCTGGGCACTGCCTGGCCGTGGGTGGTCCTGCAGGCCCAGCAGGTTGTGGGTCTCTCTCAGTAGGTGAGACTCCTGGGGTGGCTGCAGCCCTCCCTTGGCTCCACAAACAGGGCCCTGTACCCGGGTCAGGTCTCAGGTCCCCATGCCCCGAGCCGTGCCTGCGCGCCCATTTCATAGACTGGGACAACAATGACCAGGGCCAGGCCTCATGGAGCCCCGAGCTATGGCCAAGAGCGTGCTCTGACCCCGGGGCCGCCAAGCCCACAATCCCAAGGATCTCTCAGTGGGCCTTAGGGGGGACAGGCTCCGGTCACTAGGGAACGGTCACTCCAGAACAGGAACCCCTCCCTTCCTCCACCGTTTGTGCGCTTGGCCAAGAGGCCTAGTACCGCTCCTGGTGCCTCACTGGGCTCGGCGGCTACAGCAGAAGCACAGGTGAGCCCAGGCACTGGGCTTCTCTCCGCCTGCAGCCCTTTCCCCAGCTCTGCTCACTGGCTCCCCTGACCCAGGCCTCACGCTGCGGAGCTTGGCTGCAGTGGCTGTCACCTTAGCAATGGCTCTGTGTGGGCCAGGTGTGCTCCTGGAGACTCCAGAGGATGAGGCCAGGGCACGTTCAGGGGCTTCCCAGGGCAGCCCTGCCCCGCACCTGCCCCAGGAGAGGCAGCGTCAAGAGGGCCGGTCCAGGGTGCACAGCTCCCACAGGATGCTCTTGGGCCCCAGGAGAGGGGAGGGTGTGGCCGTGGGGACACCAAGGCCACTGTACTGACAAGCAGCCAGCTGGGCTGCGGGGTCACTTGGGGAGCTTAGCACCCAGTGGGACCCAGCAGGGTCACCCTTGCAGGGAGCTGCCACGCCCTCCCCCACTTGAAAGCCCTTGCCTCTCCTGGCCTCAGCTCGGCCATGTGCCCCACTGGGGCAGGCAGGTGGCTCAGTCCAGCGGGCCTATTGGGGACCCGGGATGGCCCCACCATGGGAGCAGAGGGGCACAGCCCATCTCTCAGGGACATAGTGAGGACAAGATGCCACTTCCGGCCTGGAGGGCAGCCCCGCGCCCCAGGCTCAGAGGTGGGCAGGGCAGGGGCAAGAGTCCGCCCTCTGGAATAGACCGCAGATGGGAGCCAGCACTGTCTGGGCGCCTCGTCTCGGTTTGCTCTGTCGGATGCCTGCAGGGGGCTGAGTTTGCCCTCAACGAACCAGTGGGAACCCAGATGCAGGTGACAAGGGAGCGGCAGTGACAGTCGCCATGAGCCCTGCAGGAGGGGCACCCGGGTGGGTTTGGGGCGCCCTGGGCGGAGATGGAGTTGGGAGTCCCGGAGCCCAGGTGGGTTAAGGTCACAGGGGAGAGCCCCAGGGTCTGTGGAGAGCGTGGACCAGTGCTTGGGTATGCGTCTGTGTGAGTGTGCATGCGTGTGCACACGCAAGGGAAGAACCACCAGGCTGACTGAAGACGGCTGAGTGCAGGGCTCGCACGGGCTGCAGGAAGGGCTCCTTCCGGCAGCCGGGCCGGAAGTTTCCGGACTCAGTGGCCTGCCGGTAGCGCTCACAGGTGTGGCCTCCGTCGGGGGCAATGCCTGCGCCTCTGGAACCCACTGAGCAAAGCTGAATGGCGAGACCCAAGGGGATCACTGTTTCCAAGTAACGGCACCAAGACATGAGAAGACAAACGTGCCGCCACAGGTGAAATTCACAGCATCTGGCACCTGATTGCCGGTCGCCAGGCACAGAAAATGTCAGAAGGTCTGACCCGTAAGGAGGATCCCCGATGGATCACAGCCGATGTGGGGAGGACGCAGCTGGAAGAACGAACTCACAGTGGTCCCCCTGGCGAGTGGCGCGGGAAGGCGAGGAAGGAGTGGGGGGCGGGGGATCCACGGGCGGTGGCACAGGACAGCACTCGCCGGGGGTCAGCGGCTGAGCAGACGGGAAGGGCACGGGGCACAGACCTTGGGGACAACACTGACGGGTGGGGGACAGCGTCTTGGTCTGGGGGACGACTTCCGGCCGCCAGACCCACAGGAAACGGGAGGCTCACAAGTGGTGGGGGGAGGGGACGAGGTGTTCAAACCATTTTCGATTTCGATGAAAACCCCACAGACCCAAGGCCCGTGAACTGGAGGGGAGCGGGCCCAGGTGGTCAAGGGGAGGCTGCAGAGGAGGGACCGCAGGACAGAGGGGCGGAGCCCTGGCCCGCACATCGGGGTCTCAGCCAGAGGCCCCGCTGCCTCCCGATTCCCGACTCCAGGAGCCGTTGCCCAATCGGTGCTTCTGGGGTGACACTGCCGTCCAGGGCTCTGGCCGGCCCTCGGCGCAGTCTCTGGGGGACATGTCCCAGATCTCTAGGGGAGCCAGGTCCGACCCGTGGGTCTGCGGGCGCGCCAGCCAGCCGGCGCCTCTGGCTGCTCCCGTGCAGGGTCCCCAGCCTCCTGCGGGCTCTGCCGGTGTCGCTCCCAGCCCTGGGGCTCCGTAGAAGTGCCCCGGCTCTTTGAGCCCCGTTTACTTCTCTTGAAGACGGCAGCCCGGCCGACTTTGCTTATTCTTAGCGCCAAGTCATTTCTCTGCCTCCTTCCTCCCCGCACTTCAGAGGCCTTGATGTGGCTCTGGGGGCCAGCCAAAGCCCGTCCCCCGGACTCCAAATGAAGTCATTTTAAAACCTTTTGTCTTTACATTTTTATCACCCAAACCAGGCATGTGGTATTTACTTGGCGAGGGGCCAGAACCTGGCAGGTCTCCGAGCCCCAGCCAGGGAGCACCACGCTCCCACCCTCCAGCCACAGGGAACACTCTGCCGGGTGGGGGGGCGGGGGTCTTTCTGGCCCCCCAGTCCCTTTGGTTGGAACATTCAGGGCACAGCCCGGCCGGTCGCACCTGGGGCCTCTGGGCCGCCCGGAGCTGGAGGACTCGGTGCCCGGGCCTCGCAGCCGCCTCTCCCCTAAGGACGCATGTAGAAGGCCGACAGTTTGACTCCGGAGCTTGGCAGGGGCGCTGGGTCAGGTGCCCTGCCGGGGGCACAGCCAGGTCCTCCAGGACATGTGACCCTCCCTGGGGCAGGTGGGTGGGCCCATCACCCACTGTGGAGTGGGACCCAAGCGGCTGGCGGGCCCCCCCGAGACCCCGGTCGAGACAGAAATGCTCAGATGGGTCATCCCCTCCTCCCCCCACCCACCCGAAAGCCCGGACAGCACTGGCCGGAAGGGCAGATCCCCGTCCCTTGGACGCAGGCCTGGCCCCGGGACCCCACCTGCCCGGTCTTGGTCTTCACCTGCCGCCTCCTCCCCACCGCTTTGCGAGGTGGAAACTCCCCTCTGCTGCTGGGCGGGGCCGCGTCGCCCTGTGGCCCCCGCCCCTCACTGACCCCGGGCTCCGGCCGCCTGTCGCTTCTTACTGGTTTGACAGTGTCCCTCCCAGTGGGCTCCGGGCCTCGGCTGTTCTCTGAGTGGCCCTGCTGCTGGCCAGGCCAGGAGACGCCAGGGCCGGGGGCAGAGCTGGGTCACCGCTTGTGACCTTCTCCGGCAGGTGCAGGCCCAGTGGCCGGCGGGGGTGGCACGTGCTGGCCCCCAATGCTGAGGAGGGGCCTCCAGGGTCAGGACAGCCACACTGTGCCCTCTGGCGTGGCCCCTTTCGGGGGGTGGCTCGGGGTGCCGCACACTCGGCCCCCTGGGAGGCACATTCGGGTCCATCTTTCTCTCCCCCCTGCAGGCCCGACGGGGCGGCCGGGGCAGGGCCGAGGACGGAGGCCTTCCCAGGTAGGCGGGCCGGGGGAGGACGCCACCAAGTGGGCCATCTCCGGGGGTCAGATGGGGACGGGTCAACCCCATCACCCTGGAGGGGTGCAGGCCCTCTCCCTCCGAGCGTGGCTGCAGGAGGGCCCGGATCGGGCAGGTGCCTGGCCGGCCCCCACACAGGCTCTCAGACGCCCCAGAGGGCAGCCCCAGGGCCCCGGGCAGGGAGGGGGCTGTGGACTGTCCCAGGGCCCTCCCCAAGGCCCGGCCCCTCATAAAGGCTGCGGGCACCAGGCAGGGCATGCGGCGGAGGGTGCGGGCCAGCTCTGGGAGCCTCTCTGTCGCCTCAGCCCAGTGACCGTCCCTGCCTCCTGTCTCCATGGCAGGCCCCCTTGCCGCTGGCAGCAAAGTCCCGAAAGGCCCCTGTGTGTGGTGGGGAAGGCTGGGGCCTGGGCAGCGCCCCACCTGCCCTTTGGGCCAAGACAGCCTGTCCTCAGGCAGCCGCACGTCTGCTGACCGCCCCCCCCTCGGGACCCCCATGTGTGACTGAAGCGGAAGTAGTGTGGGTGGGTGGAGGGGCCGGGGGTCCCCTGGACTTCACGGGCCCCTGAGGAGAAGCAACTTCCAGGCTTTTAAGGGCAAAGCCAATGGGTAGCCTGACCCCGGGCTGGACTCTGCGGGGGGGGGGGGGGGGGGGACGCCGGGCAAAAGGCCCAGGACAGGCCACGTGGGGGTCGGGGTTGGACCTCGGGTGTATCCGAGGCCCCCAGTGTGGCCCCCACAGGCCCCTTCCCACCGGCCCCCCGGCCTCAGGACAAGGTCGCTCGAGGGCTGTGGCTGGTTTTGGGGCCACCGCCACTGAGTCCTCGCGGCTCCCGCAGTGCCCTTGGCCGCGGTCGGGGCGGCCGAGTTCCCGGGAAACACCTAGAGACCGGCTGCTTGGAAACACGGTGTTGCCATGCGCGGCCGCTCCTCCGCGGCCAGGGAGGCCCTGTGCCCCCGGCTGCGGAATGCGGCCCCTCCCAGGCGCCCGGCCCAGCCCCCAACGGCAGTTTTCTGAAGGAGCTGATTCCAGCCAAGCCCCCCCCCGCCCCCCGCTGGCGGGCCCCCGCCAGCGCTGGCTGCCCCAGGAACTCGGTGTCGGGGGTCCCGGGCCTGAGGGAGGGTCCCTGCGCGGCCTGTCTTCCAGACGGGCGCTGGAACGTCCCCCGGGTGCAGCCGGCTCCCGCGCCCTGGTGCAGCTGCGGCCGCATTCCTGGTGTGAGGCCGGGCCAGCTCGCGAGCTTTTTCCACGCTCCGGTGCCAGCCCCAGAGGCTCAGGGGTGGGGGAGGGCGGTTTCCATGGCAACCTCACTTTCTGTTATTTCTTATTTTCTCTTTTACGGTTTCTCCTACTTCGAAGCTCTCCAGACAGTTTACAGACAGCAAAGAGGGAAAGTGCTTTCCCTCCCCAGCAGGGTCCCCCGCAGAGCAGCCCCCACAGCACCCCCTGCAGGACTGGGGCAGGCAGGGGCTTTGCAATAGACAAGCAGGGCTTCAGCGTCTTAACTATTCAGAAAAAACATTTTAGAGGAAACAAAGTCTTTTTCTCCTAAAACATGGGAAGATCTTTTCAAAAGGGTCCCGGTGCCCAGCCACACGGCCCCTCAATGGGAAGGGGCCCTGCCCCTGCCCGGCCTCCCCCGAGCCTTGCCCAGCCCACCTCACCGGGCTGCCCCCCACCCCCACTCTGCCCCCCAGAGCCCAGGGCTGCAGCTCGGCCTGTGCCCTGAGGACTCACTGTGCCCCAAGCAGCTGGGCCACAGAGGGTAGCCCGGTTGGGGGGGCAGGGAGGGGCAGACCTGAGGGTTTCTCATGGGGGGTGGGCGGCAGCCTGGCAGAGGGCCAGTGTGAACTCGTCCCCTCTCCTGCAGGGGACTATGTCATCATGGTCCAAGACGTCACCGCCCCGCCGTTCCTGGGCCACACTCTGCCCACGGCCTTCCAACACCTTCGGGTCTCTGTGAAGGGGCCTGGTCAGCAGCCCCCCGTCCCCGGAGAAGACCCCAAAGCCCAGAACTAGGAGGGCCACCAGCCACGGAGGATGGTGTCCCTGCAGGAGACCCCTCGTTTTGGAGAGGACAGAGGCTGCCTCTGCTTCCCTGGGCACTGCCCCTTCTGCCTCCCTCCGTAGTGAGTCAGACTGGGGGCCGAGGAGCCCCACACGCACCCCAGGGCCGCCGGCTTTAATAAAGTGCTCAACGCTGACTGCTGAGTGGCGTGGCCCCTCCCCACACCATGGACACAGGCGGCTCCTTGGGGGGTCCCAGTTCCCACCGTGGGGGCGTCACCAGTCACCCCCATGGGCTGGCATATCTGCTCACCCCAACTCCCCCCAGTCCGGCGGTGCAGCCCTGCACCTCTGCCCTTGGCCTCCTCCCCACGCCCCCTGCCCGGTGGGGATGCGAGGCCCCGCGAGCAGCTGGGGAGTCAGAACCCCCTCCCCGACGAGAGAGCAGGAGATGAAGGCGCCGAGCAGGCGACTGGTTTTCTGGGAACCGGCTGCCGGCTGCAGGAGCCACTCCACGTTTTGGGCCTCAGCTGCCAAAACGCACTTGGGGTGCGCAGGCAGGGCTGCCCGGAAGGTGGGTGGTGGGCTGGCCGCCCCCCATCCTTTCAGCTGACCACCTGCTCCGGCTTTCACAGAAAAACAGGAGTGGGGAGGGGCCCCCCAGGTCATCGGCACGGTCACCTCTGGCCCGAGTGCACGGTCCATGCCATCCCCCCCCACAATCCCCCACATGGCTGCAGCGGCCACGGGCCGCCATGGTTCTCCCCTGCCTTCCCCAGCTGCCCAGCATTGGGGCCAGGTTTGGTCCCCACTTGCTGGTGCTCACCTGCCTCCTGGTCCTTTCTGCGGCCTGGGCCCCTCCCCAGCACCAGACCCAGACCGCCGGCTGCGAGACGCCCGGTCCAGCAACACCGGGTGGCCTCCGTGCGGCGTCAAAGGCATGTCAGACCACACACGTCCCAAACGGAGTTCCCGAGGGTCCCACAGGCCAGCTCCAGCCCCGACGGTGGCACCGCCTGCCTTCGCTCCTGCGCGGTGGCCAGCAAGTCCGGCCCTGTCTTCCAGGCCCAGCAGGTGCCACCGGGCCACACCCAAGCCATGCCCGGCACCGAAAGGCCCCCAGAGCTGCAGCCCCGTCTCCTGGCGCTGGTTCTCTCTGGCCAACCGCACGGCCCCAGCACCCCTGCCCTGCGCCTGCCCACCGTCTCCCAGGGGTCTCCTCACCCCGGCGTCCTCCTTCCTTCCCTCGTCCCATTGTGGGCCAGCAGGACGCTCACTGCACTTACATGTTGCTCATCGCCTGCCGAAGGGCGGCGTTTGGGCAGCTTTGCTCGCTACCCCGCGAGGCGCACTGCCTGACAGAGAGCCGGCCGCGGCACACCCGTGCCGGGGCCGCGTGGGTCTGCGGCGCCTGACCGTGCCGGGCAGTGCTGCAGAGGCACCGGAGACCACAAGGCCGATGAGGTGAAGCAGGAAGGACTGACAGACGGGCAGACGCAGGGGCGGTGGGGGGACAGGTGAGCAGACGGAAGCGGGGAGAGGGCCTGAGTGGCTGGGGGCAGAAGCGTGGGTTAAAGGACAGGCGGAGGGTCGCGTGACTGGGTGGATGGGTGACGGCTGTGCTTACAGGTGGCGTGGAGGTTCGTCTGTCTTCAGAGGACAGGTCCCCACGGAACGGCTGTTCTGGCGTGGAGGGCGGTAACGCGGGAGGGCCCCACCTCCGGCCGACGCCAGAGCGCCCTTCCCGACATGCCCTGCCGGCCAGCCCATCACTCACCCTTCCTGCTTTTATGTGGGCAGGTTTCTCACCCAATTTTCCCTCCAAGCCAACTGACCACTGGTGGACGGGGCCACCGGGATGGGGCCCACCCCCACAGGACCCGAGGAGCTGGGCTGCGGGCGTGGGTGACTCTCCACCCCGCTCCGGAGCCGCTGCAGGGCCCCCACAGGAGTCTGCAGAGGTGCTGCGATTCTGGGCCTGCGTGGGGTGGCCGCTGGGGCGCCTGCATCTGCCGGCCTCTAAGTGGCTCCGTGAGCACAAATGGCCACAGAAGCTGCCAGCAGGGCTTCGGGCTCCAACCGCCCGTGCGGAGCGGCCAGGGGCTGCGTCCCGGCCTGAGTGGGAGCCACCGACTCTGGGGCCCAAGGGCACCGGGGCGTCTGTCCTGCCGGAAGCTCGCAGGGGCCGAGGGGCCTGCGGGACGGGCTGCCTGCGAGGGTGCGGTGGAGGAGCGGCGGGGGAAGCCACGGCGGCACAGCCTCCAGGCAGAGCCGAGGGCAGAAGCCCGGTGGACAGGCCACAGGCCCCGGGGACGCTCGTGTGCCACGGCCGCCCTGAGACCCGGCCCGGCCACTGCAGCCTTCCATCTCCCCGAGACGCGGTCACGTTTCTGCCCAAAAAGAAAAGCAGTGGGCGTGCTGTTTCCACTGAGGAAGAACAGAGCGCTGGGCACAGAAGCAGCTGCCGCGTCTCCCAGTGTCAGGAGGGGTCCCGGGCGTCCCATTCTGAGCCACAAAACCCTGGGCGGCAGGAAGTGCCGTGGTGAGCCCACAGGGCCACGGCTCAGGGCAGGGGCCGCCACCCTGGGTGCCGGAGGCCACGCAGTCTCTGCAGACGTGACGGGAACCCCCCCCCCCCGTCTCCAGTGCCAGTCCAGGGCCTCCTGGCGCCGGGGACCCTCGGAGATGACAGGACGGTCCCTGCAGCCGTGTGGGCAGGGCTGCTCAGACCCCAGGGGGCTGTGTTTGGGCAGGACCGGGTGGGTCCCCTGCTCCAGCTGCTGCCCAGCCTCCGCCAGGCCCCTGAGGGATGAAGAGAGGTGGCAGGCTCCCCAGGCCAGGACACCGCAGTGGGTGGACAGTGGCCTTTTGCGGGCCGCAGCCCCAGGACTTGCCTGGACTTCTGCTGCAGGAGCGCTGGGCCCAGACGCCCCCTCCACTGGATCCCCCCTGGACCCCCACAGGCAAATCCATTCACAGACTTTTTGGATAAATTTCCTGAGAGTTTATCTGAACCAAACTAACAACACATACCAGGAAGCAAGATCTCAAATGCTGCCCCGTACAAAATTTGAATTCTTAGACAAAAGGGTCAGCGGAAGCCCGAGCAGCCACCGTCGCTGGCCTGGCCATCAGGTCTGTCTGGCAGCGTCCAGCCACCAGCAGCCAGAACAGCAGGCCCTGGCCCCTTTGGCACACAGCGCAGCGCCCCCCCGGCATGGCCCCAGGCTCTCTGCAGGGCCAAGCGCCCCCCCCCCGCCCCCCCGGCCTGGTCTCCGGGTCCACTGCCACCAAGAAGCAGCAGGGCTCAGCCCCTGGCCAGCGGCTGCCCCTGAGGCCCCAGAAGGCTCAGAGCACAAGTCCAGCCCTCTGGCCCCGCCAGCCTCTGGGGTACAATGGTGAGGCACAGTGACCAGTCACAGAGGGCCCTTCTGGGGGGGGTGGCACAGAGCCCGGGCCGGGGGGCGGGGCAGAAGGGCAGAGGCCTGTTGTGGCTCCTGCCCACCCCCCCCCAGCTGGTGGGTGGGGCCACATGGCCGAGAGGGGGACGACCTTGTCTTGGTCACTGAGCCCGGGGCGGGGGGGCGGCGGGCCAGGCAGCGGCTCCAGCAGGCCTGCCCGGTGCATGCTATGCCCACCCGTGGCCTGCAGACAGGAGGCAGGCTTCCTGGAGTCTCCGGGAACCAGAAGGGCGGGCGGGCCCTGAGGCCCCGAAGCCACCCTCCCTGCTGCTGAGGAGGGGCCAGTGGGCAGCGGCCGGCAGAGGGGGCAGCATCAGGCAAACTTACACGCCAGGAAGCTACAGCGCCCCCAGGAGCCTCGGGAGGGGCTCCAGGTCTCGGCCCCAGCCGCGGCCCCGGCCTTCCTCCCGGCCTGTCTCCCTGCGCACCTCCACCTGCTCCCTGGCCTCCGAAGGGGAGCGCTGTGGACAGTGGACAGTCCCCGGGGACAGTCCACGCAGCAGGTTCCCACCCTGCCACACGTGGCCCCCCGGCAGGCGCTGCCTGGATGAGAGACGCCCCAACCCCTCGTGCGGGGTCTGCGTGCCAGACAGACAGACAGACAAGACGACAGCAAGGCGGGCCCACCCGCCCTCCACCCGGCCCCTCCCAGCAGGGCCAGGGCCCTGGTGAGCTCGGCCTCCCGGACTGCCCAGCGGCCACCCCATGGCCAGCACCACACAGAGCCCTGTCTGTCTGGGCCGCCTCCCACCAGCCTGCCTGGCACAGGCGGCCCCTCCAGGCAGGCGGGTCACCCAGGACACGCCACTCGGAGGCCCCCTTCCCTGAAGCCTGGGCAGGCCGCCTGGTCTCAATGCCCAGTGGGGCCCAGGCGGCTGGGAAGGCCCACTGTGCGGAGCAGCCCCCAGGCAGGGCTTCCTGGAGGCTGCCCCGGTGACCGGCCCGCCAGACCGGTTTCTGTCGGCCTGGCCGATGGCTCACTGCCGGGGCGCCCTCAGTCCTGGGGGTGTCAGGGAGGGTGGCCGGGCCTGTTCCGTCAGGGAGACCCCGGCAGGGGTGACGGCCCTCAGCACCAGGCACAGGCACAGCTGCCAGGGCTGCCCCTTCCTGCCCCCGTCCCCTCTCTGAGGGAAGAGACCCAGCCTGGGCAGGCACAGGGGACCTTGGGAGCTGAGGGGGGTGGCCAGCCGGTGGGGAGGGGCTGCTCTGGGCCCCTAGCCCATTGGCCCTGAGTAGCCCAGGGGCCCGAAGCCCCAGGCCCAGAACCGCTGCCGTCCCTCAGCCAGCTCGGGGGCAGCCACGGAGCCACGGAGCCACGGGGCCAGGCAGTGAGTCACACTGCAGCTCCCGGTGCAAGGCCCCGGGTCTCGGGGAGTGGGCGGGCCTCCCTGCTGCCATGCTGATGGAGCCTAGAAGCAGGACTGTCACTGTCCAGCCGGACAGCACCTGCCAGATGTGCGGGGCTCAGCCACCAGGCCAGCCCCCACCCACCCATGTGGCCCCAAGTCAGTGACACTCTCCAAACTCCGGGTCTCCCTCCTCCCCAAAACTCCTCCCAGGGGCTCAGAGCCGTCACCCCAGCTTATAAGCAGAGCCGGAAGCCAGGACAGGGCCCTACCTACAACCACTCCAGAGCCTGGTGAGCAGGGTGGAGCCCAGCTGGCAGGCCCTGCTCCTGGGTGGCCCGGGAAGCGGCACACCCTGAGCCCTCAGCCCTCCTTGGCT